CAGCAGGGTCCTGGCAGAGGAATGACCCACACACGACAAATGAATCTCACTTTAAACACGAGCATTCGAAACAAAATAATGGAGGAGAAACACCCAGTAGTCCACTTGCCCTCCTGCACAGAGATCACAAGATCCTCCATACAGAGAACTTCACAAACACTGAAATTCATCCACAAAACTACTCCAGAAAAACTATACCCTCGGCTTCACCAAGGGCAAATTGGACAAGAGCCAAAATGGGCCGAAAGCAGCCCTGCGGAGAAGGACTTGGGGGTCCTGGTGGGAGAAAACCTGGACATGAGCTGCCTACGTGCACTTGCAGCCCAGGAAGCCAACTGTATCCTGGGCTGCATCCAAAGCAGCATGGCCAGCAGGTGATGGCAGGGATTGCCCCCCTCTACTCCGCCCTCGTGAGACCCTACCTGCAGTGCTGCATCCAGCTCTGGGGTCCTCAGCACAGCAAGGACATGGACCTGTTGGAGCAGGGCCAGAGGAGAGCTGCAAAAATGATCCCAGGGCTGGAGCACCTCTGCTATGAAGAAAGGCTGAAAGAGTTGGGCTGGTTCAGCCTGGAGAAGAGAAGGCTCTGGGCAGACCTCATTACAGCCTTTCAATATAACAGAGAAAAGTTTTACGATAAGGGTGGTGAGGCAGTGGCCCAGGGTGCCCAGAGAAGCTGTGGATGCCCCATCCCTGGAGGGGTTCAAGGCCAGGCTGGATGAGGCTTTGGGCAACCTGGGCTGGTGGGAGGTGTCCCTGCCCATGGCAGGGGGTGGCACTGGATGGTCTGGAAGGTCCCTTCCAACCCAAACCAGTCTGTGATTCTATGTTTCCATGAAATGTCAAACTGCGTATTCTAGACTTTGTGAGCTATATGGTGTGAAGAGGCAGGAAAATGCACCAGGGGTTAGACCTCTGCAGGGCAGGAGTGACACCATGTGGCAATTTGCTTTAACAGGAGCACTGAGCTCCTAACAAGTGTCAAACTAATTCAGCCAACAGCTATTAATCCTGTTTAAATTAAGCAGTGTAGGATCTTACCTGCTCTGGACTGCTAATGTTTTATTAGAAAAAAAAGGTCCAGGGTAGTGTGAAATGTCCATTTGAAACTTCAAAATGTATTTGCAAATACTTTTTTATAACATGACGGTTGACTATTAAGCATCTGGTATAGGCATAATCCTGATGCTGGACATCCCACAGCCCAAGTTCCCTCGCTAAAACTCCACTCAGCCCCATGTGGTAAAAAAATGAGAGTAGGAGATGAAACAGGAGCCAAACACTCCAAGGAACAGTAATGTTTCATTCCCAGCTTCTCAGAAATGTTTTTCATTTGCTACGACAAGCAAGAAGTTCACAGCAGAATGGAAGCAACAGGAAAGTTGCTCACGAGCAGTAAGAATGTCTTTTCTAAAAACAACTGTGCACCTCATCCCTCTTATTACAGGTATATTTTATATATAAGTATCTGAACCTGTACGCACACATGGCCTTTTCATGCCACCAAGAAGAATATCTCAATTTTTAGGCTCATTCTGCATTATATTTCTACACTTTTATGCCGTGCTGCTTTGAAAAGGGAGTAAATGGTCCCACTCAAGAAGCCAGGCCCAAAATCACACTTTTCTTCTCTACAAAAAGAAGCAGGCATGACCCAACAGTGCGGCAGGTCTCGGAGCCAGGATCAGTCCTTATCCATCCCTAACTAGACCTGAACGACATATGCCAAAGTGAGAAAATGCAAACGTTGCACTAAATGTGATTTTGGGCTCCCGCGCGTGCCAGGGTCAGCTGCTGTGCACACAGGCTCTCAGAGTGCCGCACAGCCCAGAGCTCTCCGAGAAGTACACGCAGTAACTTGTTCACCATTACCTCTCAACCACAAGCACCTATATCACCAAAAGCTATCACAGGCATGAACTAAAATTGCTTTCTCTTTCTAGCTGTCTTCAAACTTCCTAGAGCTCTGACCTTCCAGAGCTTTTGTACGACGACGAGCTCTTGCACTTCGTGCCAATGTTTCATTCCTTTGCCATGAGAATGATCCACTGGGCTGTATAATCATTATTTTTCCTTTTTGATTTTGTCATCAAACTGGAAGCAAATACATTTGGATCAGCTTCAAAATCTTTCCTCCTCCCCCCATAGTCCCCTAGATTTGATTTCAGGCCTTTCTAATGAAGCTCTACAAGGGCACCACAGGATTGAGCGTGAGTCTCCCAGAGCAAACGGGCACGCAGCGATGCTCCCACATGCTTTCTGTTCAGTGACCCATGGCACGGGAGACGCAGACTTTATCTCGGATTCCCACCCACAATCTATCATCTTCCACAGCAGGGAAGACTGGAGCCTATGTGGAAGTCCCAAATCACTGCCATGATCACCAAACCAAACAAGTAATATTTATTCCATCTGCGAGTATTTGATTCATTTTAAGTTCCCATTCAGCAAGGGACTGCCAAATTTGATTTAAGAGAGATTATCTAAATGCACACTTGAAAACAAGAGTAAACTCAATTAAAACTTTCAGAGTGATAAAAGCTTTTCAAATTTATCTGCTGTGAGCAATTCTTGGATTAACAGATTCCAAATCCAGTATACGTGCTGGAAGGATTCACATTGTACAGTTCTGCAAATATCTGTAGATGTGCCAAGATGCTGCCTGTGAGAGTTCGTGGAATATATTTTAGTATTACTGAAATTAAAATCATTCTCTTCCGAAACATCTGCAAAAAAGCAGCATTTCACACTGGAATCTCTTCTTCATGTTTATCCATTCCTGAACTAAATACCTTCCAGAAGACTGAGCTTGGTGTGGAAAAGCAGGGATGTGCTTTTTTTATTCTTCTTATTAGAATCTTAATTAACTTTTTTGGAGATACTCACATGAACAAAAGCCGTGGGATTTTGGAAGCACTAGCTTGTAGGCACACTGTTTGCACCATCACAACAGGACATTGCCACTGCTAAAGGCTCACAGTGCAATGAAGAATGCACTCCCAAAACCACGCATTTAGGAAGCTAGTAAAGGTGAAAAGCAAAATGGATCTGATACTGGCCCCAGTCTGCCAGGTGAACAACGCAAACTGGATTTGATTAATGTACTGGTTGTTAATCAATGAACCGATAACCAATTTCTACACTGATGTGAGAGTCAAAATGCTTATCAAGACCCTTTCAAGGCTATCTGGTCCAGAATTTATCACAGCTGCCCCACTTCAGGAAGATTAAAACATTATACCCATATACACACACACTTCAGAGTCCCGTTCACCCACATCTACAACAACATTCAGCAGCAGTCAGGGTAAGATTAGAGAGGCCTGTTGCATGGTGGAAAATAAACAGAAAAGAGTTTGAGCAACTTACTCCTCTTGCGTGGTAAACATATCAAAACAGCCGTTTGCCAGCATTTGGTCCAGCATTGTCAGGAGAGGTACAGACACCCTGACAAAAGAAAATGATTTATCAATGTAAATATACTTCTTGGCATACATATATACACTATTTTTAATTAGAAGCAAGGAAAGAAACTTCCTATCTACCTACACATATTTAAATTAGAACTCTAATTTACACAGAGGAGGGTTGCTTGGTAACTTCTGTGTGTTGGCTAAATCATCCTTGTTGGCTGAGAGGGGGAGATTCCGTTACAGCCAAAAGGAAAAAACCTAATTAACAACACGCCTGGTTTAAACTTGCAGGGTCCTGAAAAAACAATTAACAGTAGTAGAAAATATTAATTTATTTTCTAGTATAAACAACGTATTCCACAAAATGTTATCAGAAGCTACAACACCTTCTCACTACAGGTAACTACCAAATGAACCAACACACAACATGTCAGGCAGGATAACTATGGTCATGTTTTCTCTTTCAACAGCTGAGACAAGAAACAAAATAAAACTGAAAATTCTATTAATAGTTGCGGGATTTTTCCCCTAGGGAATATTCTCTATTTTGCACATGTTTGATAAATGCGGCTTAAAGAAATTAACCTCATTATGCAGAATGACTCACCTTTAAAGACAAATCTTCACAAGAAAATTATACTTCAAATATTTGTGAAAAAAACACTATTTAAACAAAATGCAGGCTGGACTACACTGAAAAGTGTGCAGCAAAATAGAATCCCCAATATCGCACTATATAAAAACGGGTGCTTATCACATTATGTGCAATATTAAACTATAGTAACTGCAAAGTATTCCACCACCACTCCTTTGTTATATGTTTTACCAAAGTGCCCAACAGCTGTGTTAAAGCAAATTTACACAGCTCAGGCATCCAGGCCCATTCAGAAAGTGCCTGACTTCAAGTAGTCCTGCTGTTAAAGATCAAAAAGCAAAAGAAAAACATTACCGGTCATTCCGCAGGTTGTCCTCAAAGACCTTTAGCAACGTCTCACAAAAACTCTGCATAGCACAGGAATCATTCTTGATTTTCTTCATGTAGTCAAAAAGGCTCTGGGCAGAGTATCGGAGCTACGAGAGAAGGAACCTCCAATGAAGGCAGAGGGAATAAACCCCGCTGCAACGCAGGGAAACGAGGGCTACACGGAATTATGCTTATCCCTCTGTACACCTGCACTGGGAACCCACTCTTCCAACAGCAGCTGTGTGTATAAATTAGGCATCAACATTCGACAGGAAGGTGGCTGTTTTACTTTCATCAACCCTTTTCCAAGGAAGGGGTTTTCTCCTTTTTAAGTTTTGCCACCATAGGCAAAAAGACCACATTAAAGGTTCATCATTTTCTTTCTCTCAAAATAAAACATCCTCAAACCGCTATGATTATTCTGCTTTACTTCAAATAATAATATTGTTATGGCTCTGAAAGTTGAAGAGTACACAAGAAGTTCAAGAGGTAATATTTATTAAACACGCTGATGTAATTGAAAAATGCCGGCAAGCTCCTGGGCACATGGTGCAGGCCGCACAAACCAGCAGTAAACTCGGGTTAAAAATTAAAAACAACTCAGAAATAATGACTCTTGGTTTAGCTTTCTGATGTGAATCAGCGAGTTTTGAAAGATGGCAGGAGGAGGTTCAGGGCTCAGCTGGAAGCCGTCCAGTCGGGTCACACCAGCTGTCTGGTATCATGGGCTGCAGCCTTCACGCTCGGTCCCCACTCCCGAGGATTTTTTGCGTGGCCGCAAGCCAGGCCGGCGTCACCTCTCCCAGATCTTCGGGGCAGGAGGGGAGCGCAGAGGCTCCGTGGGATCCCCCTTTCCTGCGGGATCCATGCCCCCAGGCAGCTACCGGCACATCCTTGAGCAGCGGGACAAGGACTGCAACCGGCTATATGGGCATCACTACTCATGCTCACATTCTGCATTTCTGGAAGAGGCAGGAATTTTAGTTTCCAGGCTCATTTTTTAACTATTAATTGACTTCCCCTGAGGACGAGAGAGGAAGAGTCTGTACTGAAGATGTTAAGCAGTTTTTTTCCCTAACGGTTGTCTCCTCGCAGCCCCCGCTATCTGAACAGAATTCAGTCTGCTGCACCTAAGGCACCACAAATGGAAGTCGAGCGAATAATTGCTGGAAAGGCCTGGACAAAATCAGCACAACTGCTGAAGGCTCCAGCTTTCATGGAAGCATTTCAGCAGAGAAAGACCCGCTCCCAGAGTCAGAGCATTCCTGTAACACGTGCAGAAGGAACCATGCTACGCTCAATAAGCAACACTGGTTTGGGATCATTTCTAATCCCAACAAATTTACAGCCCTGATGTGGCAGTAGCTTATTTTCCCAGTAACTTCAGAAAAAATTACGTATCGGTTAAATTTTAGCGCAAGTGAAACCACGTCTCCCTTGTTTTATTTGCAACGCTCTTTTTAATAAATCAAATCTTCGGAGGCCCGTAACTCTAACACTCAAGTCAGTGATATTTTATGAGAAGTACGAACATAATAATTCACACTACTATTTTCTTTAAAAAAGGAATGACAGAAATTCTTCTCAAATGTATTTTGCTCTAGAAATGTCAACCAAGAAAACTGGATTTGGGGCCTGTTCCTCCAACCCAAATATGCATTAATTTGCAAACAGTTCGTCACAGTAACCAGATGTTTTAGAACATCACCTACGAACGCCCCAACATTTCCATTTATAAGCACTCACACAGCTGTTCAAAGCCTGGTATTTTCTCCAAACAGTGCGTACAGTCATAAACATAACTGGCAAACAATAAGTCTGTTTGGAGGGAAGTAAACCATAAATCGTATAATGTATTTGGCACATACATAATGTTAACATCCGTGTGCCGTAGACAGGCTTTAATTTTTGTCAGGTGCTTTAACATACACATGCATTCATCGGGCAGTTTTGGAACTGGCTGCTCCAATTGTTACAGGTCTTTGGCATCTTATCCTGGATTCCTGGCACTGGCTCGGGAGAAAACTTAATTTCCCAAATAGGTTGTAGGGGTTTTTTTATTTAAGGTTTTACTTAATATTACTGTAACATTTTAAAATGTAATTTTCACTCTTTATGGGGTGAGGGGAATCATAGGACATTCTGTACTTTGACAAAATTTTAGATGTAGTGTAGTTGAACAATCATGAAATTATATCAAAATTATATCCCAACCCCTGAAACTACAGGGTTTGTGAACTGGAGAAAGAACACCATTGTATAGTTCTGATCTCCATATACTGAGAGGATATTTTATGCAGCCATAAGAAATATGCATCATTGTGGGCCAGATATATAAATAGAAGATTCTTTTACATAGAGAAAGTGCCCTTTCAACCAAGGCAGCGTTGCAGAATGCCAAATCCCAAAGGGGATGACATCTTCTGTTTTTCCAGATTACTTCAAATGCTTGAGCTACAATTCTTTCAGCAACCATGCTGCCACCAAAATATTTCTGAGATACCCCACACAGCTCATTTCAGAAAATCTCTTTAAAAAGCAAAACAAAGAACTACTCTTGCTAAATATACTGCAGAGCAATTTCAACCACGGAAGAATAGCCACTGACCACTGAATTACAATAGAGCCTTTCTCCTACTAACTCCCCAAGATGATTTAAAGACAAATCGCCATTTGAGCTCAGATTATCTTGCAGTATATGAGTATCTTCTAACTTTCTAAATTCTATGTCCACATGTGTATGTGTGTATGTATTTTTTTAAGTGAGGAGGAAGAAAGGAGAGATCACAAAAACACAGACAACTTCTTGCAAGAATACGTATGTGAATAATCTTTTTCCTTTATCCAAGATTTTAAAAATCTGCTTCTTCATATGGATTTAATAGGAACATTTCTTAAAATTTTCTCTTAATGTTTTAAATCAGTCCCTGGATATTCAGTAAGGAGCACTACAGGCTTTGACAGAATAGTTTGAAACACAAGTCATAATAAGACACATCATTTCTAATTTATATATCACATTTTAAATATTAAATGTATTTCAGCACACAGTGTAGAATCCCAAGTACCCTATACTTTGAGCCTCCCTTGCACTTCTATCTGGCTCGAAAGAGAATTAGGTCATCTTCTTTCAAAAGCCAAAGCCCTTGAGAATATTTTAACCGGAACAAGCCTTTAGCATGAAAGAAAAATGCAGGGTCACAGAAAGTTAACATTTCAAAATCATATTTTGAAAACAGTACAGAAAGTTTCCCTTAAATATACTGGCAGATGGTAACAAGGGAAGGGAGCTAGAAGTAACTGAACTGTTTACACTTTCCAAAACCAAGCACAACCAGAACTCAAAAAAAAAAAAAAAAAAAATTTTTTTATATATATATTTAAATGTTGAATAAGAACTTTCCTCAAACCTCAGTTAGCAGTCAGAATGTCTGCTCCTCCACAACTTTCCTCCCTTTTTATACTTGTACATATAACTTTGGTTTTGGTGGAGCCTCCTATAATTAACTGTGTTTGACCAAAAGCTGAATTTCATGTGCATGTCTGCTATTAAAAAAATCTGTTAAGAGTTACATTGTCTATCCGATAATTATTGTCACAAACCAATAAGCATATGTTTTCAAAGTTTTAAAAAATCCGTTGCTATATAATTAGAAACATTTTAGAATCATTAAAATTCTCAAAACTGGTTTAAATATATGAGACTGCACAGACACCAAACCCTCAGCTACATGAAACCCAGAGGCCTGTGGCCATCTCTGGATCAGGAGCACAGAACCCATGGCACCAGGCAAAACCTGGCATTGGGGCACATTCTGAACAGCGGAAGCCAAGGGAGCCAAGTTCAGAATGATTACCTCCTTCCTTCTGTGAACCCAGCAGGAGCTGTTCTGTCTCCACAAAAACTATTTTGCCCAACACCTACCACTTTTCTACCAGCTTTCTTCATTAGACATGGCAATCTTAATTAGAAACAAACACTGCTGAGGTGCTGACTCATGACCTCCTCCTCCTGTTACAGGGCCACTGCAATGTAAAGATTTAACTGACAGTCCAGAATATTCTGCTACTGGTCTGATATTTCTCTGCAGCGTCATCTTGAATCTCATATTGAACCGTGTCTTTACCCCAACAGCTGTTTTCATATAGGTTACATCTTTAGCTATATCAAGTAACAAAAAAGCAAGAAGCCAAATACCTTGAAACCAAGAATTCTGAAACTAGCAAGACAAGCTGCAATATAAGGACAGGCTACACTAAAATGATAATAAAGTCTGGAAGATTTTGGCAGCGTAAGAGATTACCAAAACCAGTAATAAAGGCACTGTTCATGCACAGAGGATTGAAATAGAGATTGCAAAGCACAGAGGACTCAGACATTTGAATGGTAGTTTTTCATAATGTAACTTTTGGTAACAATTTGGTACTTTTATAGAAAGTGTATCAAATTAACAAAAAAAATCTGAACATACTTTTAACACATTTTGACAACTAATTATTAATACCTTGTATCATTTCCTAATTAAAAAAACCCCATCAAATAAAACAGAACAGGTTACAAATGAAAACAGGGATTCACCACATTTAAAAAGAGCAACCACTTCGCATTTAGCCACAACATTTAGCAAGCTGAATGGCTCTTCCTCTCTTAAGAGCTTGGAAAGGCGAGCAAATAAACTTAAGAGGTGACTGAGCTAACAGGCTGGAACACTCAGCGTCTATCAGGTCAGGAAATGAGAAACAAAGTGTCCTCACTCCTTGTTACCTGCATGTTCAATAACTGAAGAAAATACTTTTAAATATGAAAAATATAAAGCCCATCAGGTTTACAAGTATGACTTCATTTCTTTTAAAAAATCTTACATCTGAAATTCTCAGATGTATATATATTCTCTGAATAACTATCTGCAATACCCATTGTAACAGACTAAACAGTCAACAATTTCTCCCACCAAACAGGAAAGTCATTCTGCTTTCTTACCGTTGTCTCTGTTAATCCACCAACAGACACTGTGAGACCCAAAAGCACATAGTACTGGTACACTGGCAAAGCCAAAAGCTGGGTGATTTGAGGGAAAGCTTCTGATGCGGCATTCCAGTTTACAGTCTCTTTCTCTGACCTGGGGAAAGGGGAAGGAAAAAAAAAAAACCCAACTTTGATGTGTGCACTGTCTTTATTCTCCGCACATTCCTATCATAGCAGCTCATCCTCAAGCAGCATGTTTGTGAAGAAAGTCTGAATTACCTAAAAATCAAATTAATCATTGTTCTTTAAGCATATCAGGAAAATACAAATCAAAACTTCAGCCACTGACAGAAAAGTGCAGCAATCTTCAAGTCCTTGTTCTGATTCCGATCAGGGATTTGAACCGCAGTTTCCTTTTCACGTGCACTTTTCGCTACACTGAGAATACAAGTTCTTGCGTTCCACTCCCTCAATATGCACAGCAGGCATTTGGACACAGAAATTACATCAGGTTGCTTGTGTTAGGTGTAACTGTGTACATGCATCTTTTTATTGTCACTGGTTTAGGATATCTTCTTCAATATATTACCTTGGAAATATCCTCTCTAGCTCTTCTCGATGAGGTATGTGTGGAACTGGAGGCTGGTCAAAATGTAAAAGAGTAAGGAACACTGATCCTGCATGAGCTCGAAATTTATCAATTTTTTCAGCGGACTGTTGGGCCAGCCAGCACATAATCTGTTTGCAGCTACAAAGAAGAAAACAATCACATAATTTAATCAGTAGAATGTGTACTCAAATTTAAAATTGTTGCAATTATACAAAAAATATCCTTCTATGAAAATATTCTGGTTTAATTCTTAAAAATAAATGTACAAATGATTTAAGACATCAACATGGTGACAGAATCTTTAAAGCTTTGTCCTCCATAAATCAATTTAAAAATGTCATGACATTAATATTACACAATATTTTATATTCACCTAAAAAGATAAGAAGGTGCTTTATGGTTTGCATGAACTCCCACATTTCAGATGGAAATAGAGTGGGAACCTTGAGAAAAGCACATTTTCAAGCAGAAAATTGCATACATACCAGAGGACAAGATCTATTTCAAATCTCATATATCCCAAATTAATTACATCTTCAACTCTGGCTAGTTTTTAACTGTATCCTATTTTGCTCACATTCATAACTGAACTCTCATCTACAAAATATTGTTCCATGAGACCCTTTACACCTTCAGAAAGGACACCTAATGATAGTAAAAGCAGCTACAGTAGGACCCAGAATATTTAGAAAATGTGATCCAGCTGGCTGGAATATTTTTCTAAGTCTCATGTGAATGATCTATGTCTGCAGCAGACCAGTAGGAGGAAGCCTCTAGACAACGGGCACTGCCTGAGTAGCGTATTCCTACAGAATTCAGTATTTTCCTTCGAAGTTTGGGCTTTTTAAAATTTTTTAAAAAATCAAGTATATATTCAGCTAAGTATTGGGCATGTTCTGTCCATAAACCAACAGCATTATTAGGAAAGTTTTGCTGCAGCTCAAGCTATGCTTAAAAACACGTAAGTATTCTTGTTTGTTTGTTTGTTTTACTATTGGGAGTATTGTATAATGAAATTAAAAATCAGAATCTCAGTGTAAATTATGTTTTTCTGTATTTCCTTACTAATAATTCTAAAAAGAAAACAGAAATTAATATAGACTCATCTCCACATTTTATCACGTTCCAAATTAACGCTGTGATGCTCTGGATAAGCAGGCAAGTTTGCTTTCTGTTTAAGTGAACAATACTGGCAAGCTCTGCAGAGGCGGCAAGTACAGACCCAATCTCACAGAGGCACTGTATTCAAAGGTGGGACTGCCACCCAGTTTCTCTGAAAAGCAGACACAATATTCTCAGCTTCTGTATGGGTGAAAGTTTGATGCACTTCTATCAAAAGTTCTGTCACACTTGATAAAGGAGTAAATATACAATATGTAAACAAAACTTTCTTGTAAGGACTAGAATGCAGTTGTAAGAGATAAGACACAAACAGTACAAGTAGCATACACGTTGGCATTAAATAACTCCGCTTCGTTCTGAACCAGCAGAAGCGTCACTTCCATTAAACTTGTCATAGCAGCTTCACGTACCCTGTCGAAACAGACATACATTACAGCAGTTCTAGCAGTATTTATTTAAATACATACATTGGCAATTAAGTTAAACAGACACTGGCAAAGAATTCAAAACAAGTAAAGCATTGACCCCTGAGAGCAGCTATGATATTTTTGGGAGGAAGAGGACTGTGTACCGTCACTTCCATTAAACTTGTCATAGCAGCTTCACGTACCCTGTCGAAACAGACATACATTACAGCAGTTCTAGCAGTATTTATTTAAATACATACATTGGCAATTAAGTTAAACAGACACTGGCAAAGAATTCAAAACAAGTAAAGCATTGACCCCTGAGAGCAGCTATGATATTTTTGGGAGGAAGAGGACTGTGTACAGCTGTACCCCCCGGCCCCATCCTGTGAAGCCACATGTCCACTGAGAGTACAACAGTTATCCTGGTTTCCAGGCAAGCCCCCTGCCTCACCATCTTATTTTTTATTCCAGCCAGATGTCGTTAGGTTTATTATTTATTTTAAGAAGGTTAAAACTGATAACTATTAGTAATACTTAGTGTGCGAGTAGATGTATTTAAACGTAAGTGCTTCGTCTGCTTCAAATCACCTTCTAAAAAGGCCAACCCATACTTTGACAAGATATTTAAACACTGTTAAGAGTCATATTCTTGTAAAGTTTCAAGCTTAAGACTTCTAACATTTTTTTAAAAAGTGATTCAGAATGGCTTCAGTGGCTAAATAATAATTAGTTTTATGGAAAAAAGATTAGCTAAAGTGACACTAGTTTGTGCTTGAAGCGCATGTTATTTATATGATGAAGATTTTCTGCCTTCAAAATGTCTAAATCTAGTCTCAATATAAAAGAAAGATAAAGAGTGTAATTTCAATCAAAACCCAAAATCAATACACTTGTTTTAAACCAGAAGCCTTGTCAATAAATGAGTTGTTAAAAGTAGTTTCTTTCTTGAGATAGGGGCAGCACCATGGCAGATCCTCAGATGGTTACATGATTCCAGAGGAGACCAGGATCAACACATTCATCACATTAGTCACTCATGGTAATGTTAGCCTTTCTCAGTGATAATTAAAATTATATATAAAAGTATATGAAAAGGTACTTCTCTACTGTGAAAAGACATACTCTTGTTTCTGATTTCCAAAACAAGCTGAAAATAGTTGCCTATCCAATCTAAAACTGGGTGGGACATTTGTTATAATGGTGAAAAAGGTAAATTACATCATTTTTTCCTAAGTAATTTAATACAAGTTTGGCAATCTTTCATCAAAGGATGTTTTTCTACTTTTTTCATATAGTATCTGACTCTTAGATATTCAAGTCTAACACCTGTAGACAGATTGGACAAGTCCCAGCAAACAATCTGTCAAAGGAAAAGTAAAGTTAGCATATGGAAAGCAAAGTTGGTTAAACTTTCCCACGATTCCATTAAAGAAACACAAAAATTACACACCAAAGAAAAGGTCTCTCCAGAGACCTCCCCATATCTTTCCATCTTAGTCAGTGGTTTAAAAGAAACAGAATGAGAAAACATTCATATTTGGGAGGCCACAAAAATATTTAGGAGACAACAGTTTGCTGTGAGAAAGGATTCCCTTCCCCCTTTAATTTACATGTTTCTTGACTTGATTTCGGCTGGAGCTGCCAAAGAAGAATCTGGTGCTTAAAGCACATTTGAATGTTAATGGGTGTTGGGAACTTAATTTCCTTAGGTTTTCTTTGAAAATGTCCACTTTGTAGAGTTTTGTTTTTAAATTAAGACATAAACAGAAGGATAAACAATAGGTATGGGGAACGTAAGTGAGAGCTGTCAGACGTGGAAGTTAACTTGAATGCCTAATTACACTCAGTCAGCTTCTTATCTACTTCAGTATCTCACCTAATTTTGAAAGCAAAAAGCTTAGTATCTCTTCTCCTTCTCTGACTCTTCAACCCTATATGGTTGCTCTTACTTTTTCTTTCAGCTACACCTGTGTCCACCTTGCGTTACTAAGTTCTCTGAGCACAGACCCATTCACCTCCCCCTTGCTTCTTTGGCAGCTGAGGAAGGAGAGGGAAAGCCAAGCTCCTTCCCTCGTGCAAGCTGGAGTGATCTGATCTTGATCCTTACTAGTTTGCATCCTTCTTTCTTCTTCTTCTAAGTTTGAGATGTCAAACACGCCTACTTTTCTCTGATTTCTTGTCCTGTGTTATTATGCCCTGCCATATGGCAATTTCAACAACAGGTAGGGAAGGCTGAGGAGCTGGGTATCATTATACAAAACAAGAAAAATACAAACACACAAATATTAACTCAGGCTGATAAGATTAGTCTGGATTATTTACCCTGTGTACTTTTCCAACACATTTGTAAATATTTTAGTGAAGTACCCTAAAGGAACAAGGCTAGTCAATTTAAAAAGTGCCCAATACTAACATGGCACAAAATATCTCTCTTTGACTTTGCACAGGTGAAATAATGGAAAATCTAAACTTATAGAACAGTCAATAATACCACAGCACAATTTATTAAGTTTTTATCCATCTCAGTTAGAGCTACCATCCTTCAAAATTTGCCACTAACATGTTATGCAACTGCTCCCTCTCCTGGCAAAAAATCCCCACAACACGAACGAATAGGAGTGTTCAACAAGTAAATGTACTATCTCAGAGAAACAGAGATAATGTCGTAAAATCTCTGTACTTTTTACAACTAAACACATTCCTGATATTCACTAAAATAAAATCCAGAATAAGGCTGAACTTCAGTTTAAAACACAATAGTCCCCATCTTCCCAGCTTCCAAGGCAAGGGACAAATTCTTGTCAGCCTTTCCTCTCACTTCCTACTCCTTTTCTGCCAGTGCACTTCTACCTATACCCAAACCACCAAAAGCTGGGAGCTATCTATTTCTAACAGGGTTTGAAAATACACCAGTTTTTAATTAGACAGCAAACACAAGTAAGTTTACGTCTCTGTTTGTAAGGCATCTTACCATCCACCAACATCTCCTCGGCTGTCTGTGGTGTAGTCATTCACACCACTAAGGAGTGTAGCATAAATCTGAGCAATGTTATCTTTGCAGACATACTCCTCCGGGGATCCTTCTCCCTTTACACCTACTGTCTGGCAAACCCTTTAAAAAGAGAAAGTGGGGGGAGAAACATTAAGATGATAGCTTTGTTCTGTTGCTTAATAAAAATTCCCCAGATACACAATATTCTAAACACCTGTAACATCTGCCTCAACAGCACACAGAATATTTCTGAGCCTACTGTATTATAGCTGACCAGAGGACTTCTGATCAGCATTCAGGTTTAAAGGAACACTGGTAAGGCAAAAAACTCAGCAGATAAGCAGACTGGTTTTATGTCTATAATACTACACAAAGGAGTATGCTTGAAGTACCTGTCAGTTTCTGAACTTGCCTTAAAATGAAGCAAGCAAGAAGAGCAATGGACTAATATAATGTGCATTGAATTTGACATCAACAAACTTCTTTACATTGAAGGCCTAGTTAACAAGAGAAAGATTTTTTTTTTTTTGCACTGTAGCAGTTTAAGAGCACGTATACTATGATACCGTTAACACTAACTACACTGTGGCATGTCACAACAGAAAATAATCCTTTAGAGAAAAGGTACAATTTCTCTAAACCAATTCAATCTTCCTGCTCAGAAAATGGAAAAAAAATATATTCTTCCTCCTCACTAAAGCTCACTAAAACGCAGCCCACGAGAAAGGTGAACTTTAAAATATACTCTAGCTATTCAAAGAATTGATTTAAAAAAACCCACACCACCATCAGAGTTGTACTCCATCCCCAGATGTGTGATAATTCTCTGAACCAAAGGTATATTGAATAATGCAGATGCCATAGTCCCCCACTAAAAATGCACGTGTCACGGTGTAACTGATTTCAAGAACCACGCTGTAACAGAAAGCAGAATGAACAGGAGAAAATGACCTTTAAGGTTCCTCCCAACCCAAACCATTCTATGATTCTGTGAAAACTTCTAGAGAAAAAATTAATATTAGAAAAAAATAAAGATGATTAACATACTTTGCAATTGCTATCAGGGCATCTCTTCTGGATTCTGCAAAGCTCACGTTTCCAGAGGAAATTAAGGTAACTTTTTTCAAACCTTCCAAAACCTGAAAAAAATACAAAATTTGAAATATTTAAATCCAATGCATTATTTATAAGTTAGATATCGTATTAAAATGAGCTTAATCACACATGAGAGAACCAAGCAGTTAACAGTGTCAGCAAGCCTCACTTTTCCCTTTAGACAGATGTTCCGTGGCAAAGGGATAATTCAATCTCTGGCATCTCCATTAACACTACTAAAGCAACACTAAGCTTTAATTATCAGAATCAGGGCAGACTAAACTAATGATGATTTTCTGGAGTTACTGTACATTACAATCCAAACCCCTTTCACAAAGACCTTTAATTACGATCATTATTATTTATTTGATTACGATCATAGGTTTAATTCAAAATACTGTGTGCCCTCTCTTCCCATTACAATGACCATATTTTCTCACCTGTTGGAGCCTGCCCTTTAGCAGAAATCTTGGAAGGGCACCAAGAGCTCGTGAAAAGCCACAACGAATCATTTCCTCTGTGTTTTGTAGTTCTGAAACATACTGTGTCACCAGCTCATCTACAAAAAAAATAGTCGCTTTTCACTCTGCAATTGTATCACATCATTATCATTACATATTTGACTAACAAAAAAATAAAACAGGAAAGGATCCCCCAAACAAAGCAGCTAGAAAATGTTAGAATTTATTAAACTAAAATACAGAAAAACTTAATTTCCTACAGAAAAAAGATAAAAATTTGAAATGTTCACCGTTACATGAATCAATTCTTATTTTCTAAGTACGAAGTCAGATTTTTAGACAGACTAATTCTAGTCATTCAGAGAGAGAAAAGACAAAGTTCGCAAATCTAAAAAAGTTATAATTTAAAAAAAAAAAGCACAAATTTCTGTGCAAACATAGGGGAACAAGTTCTCTTATATCTAAAAGTCATCATTTTCTGTAATTAGAAAAGTATTCCATGTTGGGAAAGAGATGTCTCTGGATTTGTGAAGGTCAGTTATTCAACAGTTTTTCCCCAGAAAAGTCGTAATGGGACTCAGCATTTAAACACATGCACAGATCACACCTAAGCAATGAGATAATTTCATATCGCTTTTTATATAGAGACAAAAATAGAGTTGGGTTTTTTGCAGGAGAAACTCAAAAAGAAGCGACGACTGTGAGATTCTGTGCATCGTTACACAGCGAAACAGGGCCAACGGCTCTACAAACAATAGCACAGACAAAAGGCACAAGAATAAACTGAACTGGGCAAGAAAAATGGAGGCTCAGCAGTGCAGTGAAGTGATACAATGAAAAAAATGAGGATGAATGAAAAGAAAGAAAAAAGAAAAAAGTCAGGAATCTATCTAGGTATTTCTGCTGCAGTCTTTATCACAGACTTAACAGCCAACACTTCCTTTACCAGATTTTTCAGCTACTATATTAAACTCTTCTGTCAAATGCAGAGAAAAACAAGGTACTCCAGAAAACTTCTAAGAACAACCAAGATAGGTGCAATAAACACAACTCTGGTTCAAAAAGGAAAAGGCAGCCTTATTAACCACTTTACTGAACGTGCACTTTTCAATCCTCGAAGAATCAGAGATCCTAGGAAGATGACATAACTGTGCCATTGCTTACTGTCACCTAAGATTTCAACGATTGAGCAATATTTGCTAGAGGAAGAAAGAGTAGTTACCAGAAGAAACTACACATCAATCATAACTCATGACCGATTTTTTTTTTTTTTAAATTTAATCCCTATGCAATCGGCAGGCCTCAACTAGCTCCTCACATCAGGGAACTAGTTCCCTGTCCAGAGGTTAGCAATACCTTCATATAAGCACACCTATTATGTAGAAATTTCCAAACCACTGGAGTGTAAGATCGAGTCTTGAGGCCATAGGAAGATGCAATGCTTGCTTAGACAGCAAGATGATCTCAGACAGTAAGACTATGACAGTCTTCCCTTTGATTTAAGACTGACATTTTAGTCAAATGACATAAAATGAAGACATGACAACTAGCAAATGAGCAGCTCGTTACTTATAACTACTTAGTAATTTTGCTAGCGAGGGTAATACAAATGTTCATACTCTTAGAAGGGTCTTCATAAAACAACATGGCCCACGAAATATCTACTATACTAATTTAACACAACCCATCCCGAGAGAATATTAAAAGAGAAAGTCATCAAAACCAAACCAGAACAACATTAAGACAGAGAAAATAAAATGAAGAAAAGGTGAAAACAGAGGCAAAAGAAGTGATTCAACAAAATTGCAGTCTTATAGGGACAGACTCAGAATTCCGAATCACTAAAGCATCTTTGCCTTGTGTTTTCATTTTCATCTGTCAAGCCATAGTGAAACACTGGTTAAATTTTACCAAAACCTTTTCTTTTGTTTCTAATCCCCTTAAACACGTTCAGACCTGTTTTAACTGACTTATCTAAGGCACCTGCACTGTCACGGAATGTCTTCTGCACTGTAGCTTCCACACATATGCATACATCAGATATTATGGGGAACATTTTTAGCAGTGGATTTCAATCCCACAACTTAGATTTTAGTGGTCATGACATACATAGTTTTTATTGGCACAGAGATGAAAATACACAATTTTTTTTTTCTTTTAAAAGATGTTTGCATGCATAATGGCACTTTTGTTACCATGTGTGGAAGGGGCTTTAGAGGCATACAAGGCCACATAAAAGCACAATCAACACAGAGCTGACTAGAGATTTTTTAGAACAGAAACACTTCCAACTCATAATTCTATTCTCTAAATCATTCCAGAAAATCTGAGAAAAAAAAAATTTGCTTGTATCTACTAATCTGACTCTAATTATGTACCTGGACCACCATGGCTACATTGCCACGATTGCTTCAAGCACAAGCCCAATAAAAAGTTAACCTAGAATCCAGGAAAAAACAATCAAGCTTCATAGGCATCTAAAAGAGTACAGCATCAGAACAGCTGCAGCCAGCTATGGCATGTTCTTCCAGGGGGTCCCCTCTCCCTTTTGATTTTGACATGTGGCTGAGTTTTCCAGTCCACTTTCACAGCAGATTGAAACTTCATCCTTATATAAAATGTGTCCTATTAACTTTTCAACTCACTTTTAGCTTGCTTTCTTTGATTCAGCATTACCACCTCCTGCCCAAACTGTTCTGTTTTTACAAAACATTACCCTTTCCTGAGGTTTTTTTTTTTTTTTTGTGGTGGTGGTCTTTTTTGTTGTGGGGTGGTTTTTTTTTAAAATCTGCCTTAGTACAGTATCACATCTTCCCATGCTGTCCACAAAAAATCAGGCATGCAGTGCCAACCTGCATGAAGGGCTATTTTTGGAGACTTTTTTTTTTTGACAAAAATATAGAGATTTAGCAATATAGAAAAAAGTTAAAAATCAAGATAGGCTGCTTTTATACATCAGCCATAACTTCTTTGGGGCATGGACTGCACATTACTATATATATGACGGGTATCAGATTCATTAATAAATAAATAGTAAAGTATTCTGTTACCTGATTTAGCAATGACTTATTAATTGCAAAAAATAGGAAAAGAAATAATTTTGTTAGGTGTATGTAATTTCACTGTCATATTTAGAAAAAGAAGAAAAAAAATGTTATTCTTAAAACATCTCTCTATACAGTCCAGCTCCTACGGACACAATACAATTTGCTACTTGAAACAAAGAAAGGTCCAAGAAAATCAGTACAAAAAAAGGATGTTAATCCATACGCCCCTAACAAAAGTTTAAGCCTACTCCTGCACTACTGACCCAAATCCAAACAGATGAAGTTTCATATGCACATTTACAAGAACTCTGGGTGTCCATGCTGTCCTTCTCTTCTTATCCCTTACCAGCTGTTCTTAAGTCAGCCACAATCGCTGACACATGGTTTAATAAAATATGATGTGAAAATGTCTCACTTCAATAAAATTTATTATTTGCAACAGACATATTCTTTGCTTATTTATTTTAAAGTATGGAACATAAAAGCAATGTGTTTTTCCTAATATTCATTATTATGCTACATTGTATTTACCTCCAGTCTAAAACAAGCAAAACCCGAGACATTTCCTAGACTTTCAGTTGGTTTTATCATTCTTTCCTGAAGCATTTTAAGTTCCTTTAAAATTAGTGATGCTCCTCCTCATTCTATCCAATACGCCCAAAGTGCAAGTTAGGTCCAGCCCAATATTTTCTGCCTCTACTGTAAACGTGAGTCATTACCCTGTAGAGCTGCATCAGCTTCTCCCTTTTCATTGATGTAATATTCATTACACAGCGCAGCCAGTGCAGAGACTGCAGACTCCTGTAACAAAGGCAAAACTGTGAACTTGATACATTAACTAAGGTCACACTTCATGATAAAGTTAAAAATTTAAGGTTTAAGTTAAGTTAAAAGCTTAAGGAAAAAGAGAGTGGCTTTTTAAAAAAAATCATTCCCTTCAGCTACCGACAACTACATTCTTTTTATTTTTTTCCCAATATTGATTTAACAACAGTTATGTATGAAAAAAAAGATATTTTACTCTTATTCCTTCAAAAGTACCAGAAAGCTAAATCAACATTTAAGACACCAGTAGTAATGTATCAGCTGTATTAGCAGTTCAGTTGCAAGACCTCCAGGATGACACAGTATTAACAAAATACAGAAGTCATTATTTCATCTTCAATATACTGCTGCCAGATTGATAAGAAAGAAAACGCATGTCCCCAGAAGGCTATAGAAAGGAAACACAGAAAAAAAACCATGGGCTGAAAGTTACCAACAATACCCCGAAAATATCCAGTAACACAATCCTTGTGCCTCAATCTTAATTGGTTTAGAAAGGATCAAAGGTTGTGTAAATGCCTGAACCTCTGAATCCACCAACAGAAAGCAAAAGTATTTCTAATTTTGTATTGAATGTGACCACACGAAGAAGGAAGAACAATTGTACCTTTACATGCTGCCGTGCAGTGCTTGACACAAGAGGGAGACTTCTTAGACTGTCATTTATTAACCACTGCCAGCCACCTGAAATAGTAAGAACACAATTGGTAATAATTTTTCTTACTTTCTGAGCTTCAGCATTCTCTTTTATTTTTACAAAGACCAGCAATTACACATATTGACATATTTCCTTGGTTTTTCCAAAATGAACAAGGTTGTGATTCTCAGTACAGCTATTCTGGCTTGTTTTACTGTATACACAGAGCAAACCCTGCATCTCGTAATGCTGAAAACTTGATGGGAATAGCTACAAAACAAATCTTCAAATAACATTATGATCTGCTGCAGTACTTGTGGGTCTTTTTGATATCTTTGTATTTGTTAGGCCACTAAAGCTTACTAATCCTGCTTCTTTGAAAAACATCATTTGTTAACACTTTAGCCTTATGAATAAATACCGAGATAATGGACAGTTATTTAAAATACGACATACCAATTACGGGATCTCCTCTAAATGGCATTTTTGATAGTGACAACTTTTCAATTAAAGTGCAGACTGTAAGAAAATAAATGGGATAACTAGATAAATACAAAAAAAATAGAAACTGCAGCAATACCAAAGATACAACCACATCAAGTTACATTAACATTAGTTTTAAATTGAAGAAAATTTGCAAAGGGAAGTCCAAAATATGTGAAATTAGAAACTGAAAGGAAATTACACTTGTGATTCTTACATACAAAAAAAAAAGCTACTGTGCAGTAACTGTTCTCTGACACGAGTTAGTCACACCATTCATGCAAATCCATTGGTGGTATGCTTCTCCCCCTCTTCCATTTAAGGTGCACATGTACATATTGGCCACCTTGCTTTTTCTATACCAGTCTGTAAATGGCTATGTAGCATCACTGAGAGTAAACTAACTTGGACAAGGATAATACTACAGCCACTAAAAAAATATTCAAATTTATATGAAAGGTTTTCCTACTTCTTATTAGCATTTTTTTTGGACCTTCAAGGAGCGGCATCAGTTCACTGCACAGAGCTAGGAGCTATAGAACTGGATGCAGTTTTATTTCCTTTGATACTCAGAAAATTATTAAAATGATACTTTCTCATATTATTATTTGAAATCTATAAACTTAAATGAGTTCTAAGGTTACAAAACCACTTTCAGACCAGTATTTTTTTAGTCTTTCAAGGCTGTTTTGGGGAATAGAGATTAACATAGTAAACACTGAGAACTATTACTATACAATAAATGTGACTGCATTGCTCAAATGAAAACTCAGCACTTAGGGAACACAATATCCTTCACCTCCTGGTGAACAGCTGAAATAAAACACACAGGTATACATCCATACTCCCTATCTGACTGCTTCAGAGCTGGTGGAGAGGAGGGAAAGGACAGAACAAGCTACTACATAATGGCACCTTTTTGTTTTCCTCTCCACCCCCAACTTAATCTTTGAACCTTAACTGCAGGCTCTGTACACAGTTCATCGTGTTCTTCATTTATAATCAACTTACTGGGCTCCAAATCTACCGCTGAATTCAGTCCTCACTATGGTGAAGTTTGAGCTCCCTGTGCTCAAACTCCATTCAACATTGTATGTCAGCTTCTTTGTTCTAACATTTATTCCCAGACAAGGTTAAGTACAATGTGACTAAACCCAAGTCTCTTAGGGTTCCTCCTTAGTTCTCTACGCGTCTTTATGCTCTGTTGTGGTCGAGACCATCATCTTCATTAGACATGCAGGCAATTTGTGGAACATTTTCAATTCTTCTCTTATTCCACCTACACAGTTGGATCATGCCAAAATACTGTCATTTGTTCTTCTCCAAAATTATGAAATATTCAGCTGCTTAAAAGCTAAAAACGTATTACAAGAGCCTACCTATTCTTTCAGCCTGTGTTGTCACGTCACAAAGCTGTAAACTCATTCAAAGACTGCAGAAACCTCCTTGCCCCCTTCACCTCTTCTATTTGATCACTTTTCCATCTTGGTACTAAAACTCCCCAAGCAACTAAGTTTGGATGGCTTCACATCTTCAAAGCCAGAATCTGCTACGTAGCACTTCCCTCATTCAACTGATGAGCAGGAAACTCCAGCTGGCATCATTTCCTTATCCACCCAGGCTACCTGCATGGTACTTTTCCTGCAGCGCCCTTCCTTTTCACAGTGGTTCTGTATGTACCAATCTTCAAAATCCACGTGAACAACCCACCATTTTTTCTGTGATACAACCCTTTCCACAAACTGTTGTTTATTTGGTCTTTATTCTTCACCTTTGCACACACACGTATTACGATAAAATCATTAGTTACACGATGGCATCTGTCTTACTGGATGCATCATGTCTCTTCTGGAGAGGAATCTGAGTAAATCAATGAAGGAAGACAATTCAACGCTGAAGAAAGTTCACTATGTACATCAACAGGAGGAGAGAATGTATGACATAAAACCAAGAATTATCTCCAACTCTTAACAAACAAGGTTATTCACAAGTGTGCTGGCAACCAATGTTCTGGCATACCTGTCTTCTGACTGCTTTTCAAACTTTGTATTTTTTTTAATTACTGTTCATATTTTATTTATGCATTCAAAACAGTGGATGCAAAACAAACTAGAAAAAAGTAAACAGAAGAACTAATTCCTGCACATTTTCTGCTTTCACACCACAGTTGTGATACTTACCAGCTGGTCTCATCAGTTCTCCACCTAAACCCCTGCAAAGCACAAACAGAGCCTTCAGAGAACATCCTACCACAAGCAATCCGAGTGCATTGCATAGCAGGAAAAAAATACTTAAAAACATTTTAGAATGAAAGCAGATCACAAAATATGTGCAGTTTTGTATTTGACCCATTCTAAAATACTTCTTTTTAAAATAACTGTTGTCTTGATTTTGGCATGATTTATACAAAACCTTCCTAAATATTTAACTTTCTTCTTGCAAAGAATGTGGTCCCAATCTTTCTAATTTTTAATGTGAATAATAACCTGTGGGATTTGCTACAGTCACAAAGGTTTGGGTCTTGCTTTTCAGTCCTATATCGTCTACGAGCTCACTTTCACAGCTGAAAGGCAATTACCTGCAATGCTTTAACAAAATCTTCATCTCTGGAACATTAAATAGAAACTTCACTTACTAGTTCCATTTTCAGACATTAACTGGTTTACTTCCCTGGAGAAGTTTCTCACCCCTCTCCTTCCCCATAAAGTCACAGGTGATTTTGCATTCACCACCACAAGCAATGGGTAAAAACTTCCAACACATCAGAAAAGGAAAAGAAACAAATGGCTGGAGATGCTTCAGACCCTCCTGGAGAGTGTGTTCCACAGGGACGGTCTTACCGGCCCAGAACTCAGGCATACCCAGCCAAGTTGTCCGTCTGAACACTAGCCTGGCCACTGACAGCAGCAGGAGGAGAAAGTCTGAACTGGGGAGAAAGTAGGGAGAGGGAGAAGCACCCTGGAAACAGCTGGGCCTGTTTCCACTCTCTGGCCTCACATGCTGTGGGCAGAGACGTCTCCTCACCCCACCAGCATCAGCTGGTTCCACGGGTATCCCCGAGGTGCCGTGAGCACTGCTTGGGGTGTTCTGCTCAGTGTCACCCTCTGTGGCACAATTTTTCCATTTTCTGAACCTTTGACCCCTGCCCTTCCTTTGGATATTTCCTCCCTCGGCTCCTTATTCTCATCTCCCTTCACTTCTGCTGGAATATTTCCTCCCTGAGGTGTGCCAAACCCGTAATCACCTGTTTGTATGGCCATGCTCTGGCAGAAACTTCCAGCAAGAGGGAGCAACAACAAAGGCTTTTTTGTTTATTTGCTGGGTGGCTTTTTTTTAAAAAACCACCCTTTTCTTCCCTACTCTCTCCCCACAATAAAATTAGTAGCTGTGCTCAGAAGGCAAACCTAGCAACCCTAACAACTCTTAAAACTTTGTTCTCCAATTCACCCTTTTATATGAGCTTCAAAAGCCTAAACAAGTTTTTCCATTCCATACAAGTAGGTGCCTCCTCTGACATGCACTGGGTTTTTGACTGCTCAACATTTTCATTGGTTTTTCAGGTAATGCAGAGACACCAACTCTACAATATTCTCATTTTCCATAGATCAGCACTTCCTTTAGTTGGTAAACTTTTGCTTTTGACAATCAATATATTAAGCTCAATGTAATAACCCACAGCTCAGTGGGTTAGGAAGCAAGCATATATTCCATCCACATCCTCACGCTGATCATGTCTTTGTATTATGTACCCCACTTTCCTGCCATGTTGTCTTCTCTCCAGCTTCTAAAAAATTTCAATTAGACAACAAAGAAGTGATGGCAAGAAGTCGAGACAGTGGCAAAAACAGCAGGATGTGGCAAGGCTTGCTTCTTCTTGGTTTCTTTTCCCTTCATTTTGTCCTCACCCATTCCCTGCCTTTTGTCTGTTGCTTTACTGCGAATGAGTATAAAATAATGATCTTGTAAATTTGTTTGGTGTGCAACAGAGTCTGCTGATGCAAGGATTCAGATATGGACTTCTGTTCAAACTACAAAGCAAGAACTGAGTCATAAAGGCTGCTCTTCTCCACTTCTTCACACTGCCAATAAGGAAGTCAGGCCACTTAAAGCTACTCTTATGTTAATCATTTGACGGCTAGCATTACACCAACTTAATTTCAGAGTTTAGAGCTTCACTGAGGATTGTTGTCCCTTTGCAAGAATGAAGAATGGTGACAGCAATTTGCATAGTAAGATTTCCACGTAACGCAGAAACTATAATCAAATCTATCTTTGAAGGCACTGTGATACCATGTGTTCTCTCTGCAAAATTTTTCAAGTTATTTCTTGCCTAGACATCAGAGTACGTGCATCAATATATCTAAAATTTTCCCCTCATATACATTTCAATTTTAAGAACGGAGAATTCTATCATAATCCTAGATCTTTCCTCAGTCAGTGTTTAGTTTGTCAAATGTGATGTGCATCTTCCTATTAACTTTATCTCGCTCTACAGTATTTCACTAAATTAAAAAGATACGCATCTACCTAATTCAGAGATTATGAATTTTGCTGTACAGTCAGTATTCTCTCTTTTTTCTTCCAAAGACACATCCACAAGTTGCATCACACTATTAGATGTACCTGTTTCAAGGTTTAATTATTAATTCAATTTGTAAATTGACTGATGCAGTGCCCAGGTTCCATGAGCTCCTTCCTATGTGCAGTTCCACAGCAACGCTCCTCTCCTAGAAACATCTTAGGATGAGTCACTATTTGTGGAAAATATAATCAAAATGTATAATCCCTTGTAGAATCGATGAACTAAGATTACTGACCTGCGAATGTTGGTATCTATTTTAAACTTCTGTAGGCTTGAATCAGTACCAATGGCAGTGCTGTTTTCAGTGCCTACAGAAGTGCAAGGTACTTTTGTGGATTTTAAAAAATTATTTAAAACCTGCTTTTTGTGAGAAGTTCAGAATTCATCTTTATGATTATAAAATAACAGTAACTGAAGGTATTTAGAATTGAATAGCATCTACATTTTCATAAAAATCTGAATCTGAAGTTCAAACTACTGGAATAGCTGAAGAGGTTCAGTTGCAAATACTCAATTTCCAGGAAGCTAAGAACACCTGCTGAATAAATATGTTCATCCCCATATGAATAGTAACCAACCATTTTCCATGGGAACTCTTTGTCCCAAATAGAACTGAGGTCTCTTAAAAGGTTCAAGCTGTACACTTACTGGGCTTTGGAAGCACAAAATGGCTTTAACACAAGGTACACAGAGAGGAGGAAAGTGGTACCTCTGAGCACAGACGAAAATCCGGTGTATTTAACAAAGCTCTTATGATCATCCCTTGGAGACGCAGAGAATAAACTATACTCAGGTGACAAACACCTACTTCTAAGTTACTGTAACCTCCTGTGCTGACCATATACATTTTGTATCATATTGTATTCTAACACCAGAAGACTACAGGTGAAATCCTGGCTCTATGGAAGTAAGAGTTTTCTCAGTGACTTCAGTCTTTCCCAGTCAGTAGCAGAAGAATTTCACCTTGTAACTCTTCAGTACAGCACAATCTCCTAGAACCGTCACGCCACTGGGTGCAAAAAAATAATTTAAACTTACAAGAATTGTTAAGATGAGTGCTGTTGCAAGGCTGGAATTATTTGCTGATTAAGTTAATACGGCTAAAAAACGCTTGTATGCAAACGACTGCCAAGAAACACATTTGCCCTGAAACTATCAAGATTAGTTGCAACCTTAAAGGTCTTTGAAATGAGATGAGTTTCTCTTCTGCCTAGCACCTGTCAACACCTACAGGCTACATTACTCTTTTGGAAAGCTTAATTTGAAGATGACGGCCCAACTTACACTGGCTACTATTCTAAAAACATAAAATTGCTCGTCTCACATAGCTGACCGTGTAATACACACAGCCAGTCTCTTCATGTGTTACCAGAATGAGATCAGAGCAAAACTCGGCATGCAGCACATTGCACTCCCTGAATCATCCGGTGTGGGAGTCGCTAACAAACGCTGTGCACCCTGTCACATCCAGCTCTGATGGGAACCCTGGAGGCCCAGTAAATAGAACACCAGCTGAAACACTGAATGCAGTGCAACAGCCTGGAAGAGGCCCAGCATATCTATCTATCTATTGAGCACTTCCACATCCGTCCCTACGTTATCTTGTTACCCAACCCTGTGTATTAAGACCTAGGTTATCAGACTCAGAGCTGGCTACAAGAAAGGACAGATTCTGAACACCTATTCAGCTGAATATTCTGTCAAGAACCTTATATCAGATGACGCATTTTTAAAGATTCTTAACAGAACCACTATTAAAAATACATTTTTCTTGAGGAATTTTCAGATTGAAGCTAGTACAAGGTCTTAGATGCACTACAGAAATATATCTGCTACAAAAAAAAAATAAAAAGATACTAACTACGCTGGTTCAGTGGAAGCACAATATAAATCACGCTGACCATGTCTGAACTGGCAGACTGACTTCCTATCCCAAGTAAGACAGCTTAAAGCAACAGATGCCACAGGTTTTTGTCTTAGGTTTTTATATATTAATGTTTAAAGCAAATAAAATATAGCTCAATTTTTGTAACACTATAACCTGTATAGCACAAAACAGGACAAATATTCTGTTTAAGCAGCATGGTCTGCATATGACTTGCTATAACCAGTGTCCATTTAAGACAGAAAATCAGGCTCACTGCGCAATACGCAACTGGATGTGCGCATGCAAATACTTAAAGCAACCAGCTCCTCAAGACAAACTAGTGCATCAAATGTGTCAGAATCAAGACTAAGGGAAGGAAGTACATACTGATGTGTCTGGACTTGCATTCTCCTTTTTCAGCGTACTATGGTAAACCCAGAAAAGGGCTTATACAGGACAACAGAAAGATAAGTTGCATTAAAAAAAGTTAATACAACAGAGGACAAGATTTTCTACGATTGGCACAAAAATATAGATTGCACCAAGTATACTTAAAATAGAGAGACTGCACTATAACTCAAAACTTGGACTGAAGGATAATACATGGCCATCATTCAAAATCAGGTTGAAGACATTACAAGAGCTGCTAAACAAAGTAAGATGGTTAGTTAAATGAAGGTCTCCTTTACAGCACCTTGGCTTGATATTTTCTGATTTGAGGTACTTATGGCTTTAATGGAATCCTAAGCATCAGACAATGAGGAAACTCGCAATCCATTTTCCAGCTTAAAATTAATAAATTACAACTTTAAAAAAACCCACCAAAACACAGCATTCTTACACTTGACTTCCTTTTCCCTTTCTCACAGGGCAACACATTTTCTGAAAACAGCTTGATCAACGCATTAAAAGCCATTTGGTCCCCAGAAAGACAGCTATTTTGTTGACAGAAGTGAAAGCAAAATATCTAATAAACAGTTGAGACATGTGGCCTCATGCTTTTTGTTACAGTAGTTTAAAAACTAGAAACAAAAATAAAACGCACAGGTTTTCAACATTCCTACAAGGTGTTGTTACACCGAAAATTCCCGGTAGCAATTTCTCAAATGGAAATCTTTGGAATATTACGTGCAATAATTACTCATCATGGAACAAGTTTGGCTTGTTTCATTAAATGCTTGCCCAGCAATACTCAAATTGCTGGTTTGTTTTTATAACCTAGTTTATTTTTCTTGTCCTATTTTAATATATTTTATGCATACCGATATTTTAAAATATGGATTATAGTAGACATCTCTGTCTCAGCCTAAGTATTAGAGTAAACAGCAGTGAATCAGTTTTGGTTGGAGTTGAATTAGAAGTCTTATCTAGAATGAAAACATTTCTGTAGGCATCTTATAAATACCATTAAGTGCAAGAAGTGCACATTATGACAAAAACAAATTACACCCAAGCTCCACCCTGACATTAAAGAATTTATGGGAGCCAAGACAGCCACCCACAAAGACACTAATGTACAGTATCAGCATTAAAACCATCCACCAGTACAAGCTAACTTTGGAGTGGAAGATTCACATCAGTATGTACGACCCTCAAGAAGTAAATTTTAACATTTTTTCAGATAATTTCAGGATATGAGAAATTACCAAAAAAAATTTTAAAGTATAATTAATAATTACACCAAGAACTACTTAAGTTTTAGTGCTTTCAGATATGTCATGTGCAAAGAAGTGAACTAAACTGCCCAAAAGTTCAAAGAATTTGTCATTTAAAGCAGAAAAAACCCTAATTCGCATATACAATTGTTAAGGAATACAAGTCATTAATTATGCTTTGATTTCCTTACATTTAGGAACAAACCCTGAAGTCACATTCCAGTTTTAATTCACATTTACTTAACAGTTACTTAGGCAAACTCCCCTTTATTTCCTGGAAGCTTCAATAAATAGGAAATGAAAAACAACTTGGTGAAAACTCATTTACATTTTCTCTGGCACAAGAGCGGAAAAATTGTATTGAACCTTCTGTAATACTCCTGGCCTACTCATTACACAGGATGAAGAAACTAATTCTAGAATTTAGATAGAAGCTTCTTAAAAAAAAATTTGGACTAGTTAAAGGTCATTTCTATAGCCCTATTTGAACCATCCAAGTACCACAGTACAGGTGAATAATGGGAAAGAAATCCATTACACACTGCTGCAGCCATGGATTAGTGAGCATATTCTGTTCCACATTCTTTCCTTTCTTTAACTGTCTCTATCACGGTCTTGAGACCAGTACTTACCACTTTCCCATTAATCTAACATGCCTGTGAGTCGCATTGGCTAAATACCACAACCATTATAAAGCGACATCAGCCTCTGTAATAGGTAGACAAAGCCAAAAGAATGCATGCACTTGCATTCTGATGAACTGTGCCAGACTGACAGTCTATGGTAGGTGTAACTACCTTGTACAAAACAAAACCTCCCTAGGATCCTACTGCATTCGTTACTTCTAATTTATACTTTACAATAGGAAAAATAATTTTTTTTCATCCATTTTCTTACCTGTATAATTGACGACTGCAAAGCTGGGGTGGGAGGGAAGCAACAAACAATAATATTAGCAGAGTTTTTTTGATACAAGTGTTTTAATTTTTCCTCTGCGCATGCAATGTCTATATACTACGAACCATGCAACACTTTGAATTTTATTTTTTAAATAATCCAAAGGAAAAATATTTTTTAAAAAACCCTCTATGGCCATTTGAATTTTACATTCAAAGAAAATCAATTTAACACATTCATAAAGCACTAATTTTTCTAATCCCAAATCCTAGCTGCTCCTGCACACACCCTGGCAGCTATTTTGACTTATTTTAACACATTTGCTTTCCACAGTTGCTCCTTTCAAAATGATGATATACTGCATTGTCTGAAAACTGGTAACTTTGTTAGCTACAGATTAAACAGAAAAAACTTAAACAAAAGTTCAAATGTGACTGAAAAATATCATCTCATTGTTAGCACCACAGCAGGCCATCTTCAAAAATCAGACTATCAAATTTCTAGGTAGTAAAAACAAAAAAGAAACACTTCTAAAAAGAAAGAGTTTACACCAACTTTGCAGATTAATTATAAGAACAGACAACAGCAGAAACTGTAAAGTATCATAGCAAGTTAGGTAAAATTATCTCCGTAGAAGCATTTTAAATTGCTGTAAGCAGGACAAGACTTCATTTGTTATAAGCAGAGATAAAGACAATGCACCAGTTGAAATACAGAACATGACTTCTAAGGTCTATAAACAGGTAAGTTGGGGATGCTAGGATTTAGCAATGAAACCTCACTAAGGTTAAAAAAAAAAAAAAAGTCATAGAAAGGACAGAAAATGGACTGGATAGGAGACCTCTCTTGAGCACGGTCACGTTCAAGCAACAGCCACACATCTACCTGGAAGGCCAACCAGTCTGTACAGGAAGGGAGAAGAAACACAAGGGGAAAGAAAAAGAAAGCAAAACCCCATGCAGTATTTCAAGTGTAACTGACAGCATCAGAGAAAGTGGCTTAGCTAAGAAGCTGGCAGAACAGAAAGGGACCAAATGCAAAAATCATCCTGGAGTAAGACACGTGGTCAAGGACATCCAGCAATCAGACAGTCTGGAGCGTCCAAATTGGTATTTGTGAGACTGTTTACTTTTGGCAAAGGGAAGTGGAGGGTGGAGAACAGCTGTCTTAATTGTAAAAGTTTGTTTAAAAATAATACAACATACCAGCTTAAAAGATAGATTTATACTTGCTACAAACCTCTTGATGGATTTGCTTAAGTCCCTCCAACGACTTTTCATTGATATAATATTTTATAGATCTGCAAAGGGATACAAAAATCTTTAAGATTGGTGTCCTAATCAAGCTATAAATAATTTTTCTTCCATGACTTCATTGTACTTTCACACAGAAAAACAATCACTTGATTTCCAAATTATGCTTAACAGAAATATGCAATATTTAAACAGTTCAGTAAACATAATCCCAAATTATGCTTAACAGAAATATGCAATACTTAAACAGTTCAGTAAACATAAACATAATAACAAGGTCTTGCCTTATCATGCAGTAAACTCATTCTTAAAGGACTATAAAAAATTAGTGTCACCTATCAATAACATTATAATCTGTAATACACCAATAACCCTTCTCAGCTCAGTTGTATTTTTGGACTCCAACCAACACTTCAGCAATTTTTCCATCAATTTCAAGTATTTTCCGCGAGTAAAAATGCTCTGCATCTTTTTCTCTAACTTTTCAACTTATTTGAAACAGAAACTCTTAAGATAATACAAATTCTTTGACAGAAACTGCTGGCACATAAAATTCCTATTTGTCAATAATTAAAGCCATAAAAATGAGTGCACACTTTTGATATCTATTATTCGAATTCATCTCAGCATATTTAGCTTGTACAAACAGTGACAGCATTCAATTTGTTAGATGTCACAACTTTAAATATCTTTGTATGACTGCATCAGAATGTTCTCAGAAGTAAAATAAAAAAGGTTAATCAGAGTAATTATCCAACTTTTAGAACTAAAATGACTCAGAAAGTCTGGTTTTTAAAACATATTTCTTCAGTGTACGTATATTTATGACTCCTGCAGAACTGTAATTTCAGTGAAGTTTGCACTCCAGAGTCTTATTTTCCACTGCCTTGACCTTAAACAGCTGCTCATCCCCATTTAAGTCACACTAGTATAAAATTCTACGGCTGACGCAACTTCCAAATTCTAGTTTTGCAGTAAAGATTTTCAACCATTTTCCACAAGTGATTCTAGTGAAACAAAGAACAGGTAAATGACTGATTTATTTAATGACAACACTAAAGCAAAGATATCTCCAAATAATTTTGTCAGTTATTCTGGCTACATCACTGGTATGTAATACGTGTGTGTACACACACATACACCCAACATATATACACATATCTGGACCAGCGTTCTGCAGCAACTATTACATCGGTCCAACTCAACAAGCTGCTCGGGGAGCTATTTATCTAACACTGAAGACAAAAGACTGTCCCCTCACCAGGAAGACAGCATACTTACGGGGAAAGAGGGTTTAATCTATATTTAAATTATACCTTTGAACTCTCCAAGTAAGGCAGCAAGTGATCTCTGATGAATTTAGACTTAAGTTTACTACATCACTGAATAAAATGTGAAGGATTGGCATGACTGATCAAAACAAATAAAAATTCAATGGAAAAGAAGTTCAGTAAGACGGAGATTTCCATAATTATACTCGGGAAGCTTTCAATAGACCAGAGATGAAAGGACAGTTTATAGTCGAGATAATCTTGCATTTATACCTATTATTCTCTTCTGCTAGTTTACACAGTGCATGGGTGATCTCAGCACAGGCAAGAATTGCCCCATGGCGTGTGTGCAGATCTGTGCCCACAGATAAAGGTAGAAGTCTTGGCAAAACTGAAAGACATTAAATATATATATTTTTTTAACAAAGCATAGCAACAGATCACAGTTCTAAATGTAAACTTGTCTGCCTAGGAATAACATAGGAAAAGCATTTCTGGAAAGCCAGGCCAACATATCGTAGCCATTATGTGAAAACCAAGTTTTAAAAATATAGGTAAAATCTGACAAAGCATACTAAACCGCACCAGGAAATTTTGTGCTCACAGCTAGCTCCCTGCTTGGAGTAAATAAAATAACAAGTTTGCTATTAGGCATGGGGCTGGCTGAGTGGTAAGGGAAATGAGGCTTGTACTTCCATGGTGTTTTACTTCCATGTAAACTACCGCCTTCCTAGTCCACTACAGGGAGCCCAGGTAAGATCTGTAACTACATATTCCCCTGGGTATCAGCTGCTGTCTTTCAGCCATACTGAAAAGCAGTCAGAACATCCTCAGAATCTTGAGTGGGCTGAGCAAAGGATCCTGAATTCACGCTAAGAAATATTTGATTACACACACTACAGTCAAAAAGGAATTCTTCTGAAGATGTCAGACTGGACAAGACAAAACAGATCCCCCCACCCTTTACGACATCAAAGCTATATCAACAAAACAAAAGTGAGGAATTTGAGAGCTAGCCGTCTGAATCTTTGCAACAGAACTACACCCATTTATTCATCTTGGAACTGGTAGGGTCCGGTGTAGCTGGATAACTGAAGTCCAGGCCCCAGACAGAACAAGATCTGGCAGTATTTTATAATTTTTGCATAAAATCTGAAAACTGTTAAAGCTATTAGTGTCACTACACTGTGTTAAATTGCAGGAGAAATCTTCATTTTTATTAAGTTGTGGTGCATGTTTAAGTCTTCTCAATATCTTTTTTGCTACACAAGCTAGAACGTCTGATCTGGCACACTATGCAGACTTATTTGTTACCTACCCACATTTGCCATGTATTCAGGTGCCCGTGGAGTAAGGTTATGCAGCGCTTTGGTTGAAAGTTCTCGAATAGCACTGAAAATGTAAAAAAGCATTTTTGGATTTTTATTGGTTAGCAACTTAGTAGAACCACTGTATTAAAAACATAATGTCAGGAAGGGACTCCTGTCCCCGGCCAAAATAAAGACCCCAGCAATATTAAAAACTCCAGTATTCTCTGTCCATCCTGTGCTTCCCCCCTCAAAAAAAGCCAACAAAACAAAACAGTGGACCAAACAGACAGCCTGCAGCTACCTTTGAGCTATATGAATAGACCTTATTGCTGAAAGAGACAAAGAAAAATGTAAGTGGGGATGGCAGAACCTGAGGGCTCTCTCTGTGCATTGGCAGGGACACTACAGTAAACTATTATTATTTCTCATGATGCAAACTAGTATCAGTGCTGATATAATCTCATTTGTGTTATATGTACACATTTTAATCTTCATGAACACTGAATATGACTAAGCACCATCTCTATGCATGAAATCTACTTTAATTATGATAATTGTATGGTGATAGTGTTTACCCCTCACATACACTATATATACCATATAAATGTGTTTTATTAATCTATTAACAGATTGAGGTCATGGCAAAAAGACAAAATTTATAAACATGTTTTAAGTGACAACATGCTAGGGAGGTATAGACGACATCAGCTATTACTTGTCCAGTTTTCTTCAGACAAATGCTATTGCAAACTCTAGTATAAGTAAAATCTATAAAAATGATACGGGAAAGTATGATACGCAGAATCGTCAGTTCCTGGATATCAATAATTAGACTTTATGAACTTACCTATCCCAGTGCATAATCTTCGTGTTAATTAAATGATCAATCATCGGCTGTGTATACTCAGGAAAGCCAGCAATATACACACTGAAAAAGAAATAGTCATATAGAGAAAGTTCAGAATCAATATTTGTATGCATTTTAAAACAAGCTACTCCAAAGATTTAAATCCTCTAGGTTTAAAGAAACAAAAAATATTACTTAAACATGCCTTCTCCTAAATGAGATGCAGCTGAATTAAATAATACAATAGGAAATATGTTACAATTATTGAAAAAAATTTAAATCACTTTTGTAGAACTCTTTTAGATTCTCTATAAAAACTACTACACATACAAAAAGTTTGACAGCAACAAAAAGCAAAAATGAACATTCAATTCCCATTGTTACATTCTAGAAAATGTATTTCTGTATATTAACTTCTATAACCATTTACAATTGGAGAAATGCATTAATGATGTAATCCACAGTACACAATAAAATTACGTTATAGAAATGTGCTTCACCTTCATATACACAATGGTCCAAAACCGAATATTGGTTCTCAATTTGCCCTTTTTAAAAAATCAAACATATGCAAAAAGTCAATTCTGACATAAAAATATTAAAGCTGCAAAGTCAAGACCTGAGATGTAGGGGAACACCAGAATTAACTACTTAGGTAGCCTGTGTAATTGCCCAAATTTACAGCCACACTTGCTTCCCAATCTTCAAAAGCATCAACTATTGAAAGCTAAGGTCAACAAAAGCTAAGTGAAATGCTTTTTCAGTACATCTGATGTACCTTAAATAATCTTGGAAAGCTAAACAGTAGAATGTGTTTGTGTCAAAACGGCATGCACAAAGAGACAAAATTAAGGACACACAGATTACCTTAATTTCACCTTTTCATATCTTTTGAGTGATTAACATTGCAACCATAATGCATTCCATTAATTTATGTGCATGTAATTAGAAGCAAAACAAAGACAAAACCCAAATACTGTTGCATGTTACCATACTGATATCTATGCAATTCATCAGAAGTGTAGGAATCCTTAAATCCACAGCACAGACCTCAGTCACTTGAGCCAATACAGAAGTACTACCTACTACTGCTACGAGCCCTAGAGGAGGATTAAACAGTTGGTTTAACTGGTTGTTGATGCCAGCAGAGAAATTAGAAAATTCATTACTGTTTGGTTCCTTTCCTGGTTCTCGAAGAACATACAATAACAGACACACTTCCCCCACCACATTTGAGTTCTCTTCTTCCTAGTTGATTTTTGGATCCTGGTTTTAGCACTCACCATTCTTTCCAACCATTTTAATCTGGACTTCCTTGCCCAGCTCAAAGTTGATCATTTGGGCCATGTCTGTAGCCCAATTCCACTTTCCATTTTAGTTTATAACTATATTTAACTACAATCCTCATCTTTTGTGCCCTACTGTACTTATATTTAATGTAAGTAGACTTGCACACAAGTTTAGCCTTCCTGATAATGTTGCTGGTAAGATTTTCTGATCTCTCCCTACTTAGATTAAGAAGCTTCCTCCTTAACTCTGTTTTTTATCAAGTCCAGAGCTCCTGGAATCACACACTGTCTTTACTCCCAGTTCATACAAAAATGGGTTTCCTCTACCATCCATCCTCAGAAACAGATTATGATATTTGAGCTAAATCCTCCAAACGTCCAGCTAAAAGTTTCAAAAGGGCACCCAAGCGTGAACAACTTGCATAAAGATATTTAGATTTGAAAGGATATAAGCAACTATTTCTACACACATACATGTATATCATATATAAAAATACATATGATACTGCCTCTCTCCAAGAATACAGCATCATTTATTAGCCAAAACCAAATTCAACTGTAAAAACTGACATACATTTTTTGAGCTTTTATTGCTCAAAGGAATCCAGCGGTACCAACCTTCACACCTGCACAGCTTCCTTTCACATAGCAGCACTATGCTGGCATACAAAGTGTCCCGGGACCGTCTTATCTGTGTGGGGGACGGACAGCTAAAGATTCCAGATCAGGAATATGAACCTCAAGCAGCTTTTCCTAGCTGCACAAACAATTACACCACCTTAAGGCATACTGATCAGAAAGGTCCATTCTTCCTACCAGATCATAATGATACATGTTTTCTGTGCAGCCAAATATATGCTTATGAACTTTTCCTTTGATGTTACTCAGACAAAAATAAGGAAATAATTAAGTATTGACCCAAATAATTACATCCTGCTCGAAGAGCAAAGTGGTGAATATTTTTAAAAGTAATATAACGAATGAGATGACAAATACTTTACAAAGAAGAGTTTGATTAATAACACTGAACATGGCTTCAAGGAATCATGTTACTAATGGCAGAAGATTAATTATAAAGAATTTACAAATTTATTCTTTCTGTTGCGCAATTTAAAGAAAGGCACAAAAGTGGAAGAAAGAAATCAACAGTTATAGAAAATACTCCTACAGAAACCCTAAAAATCACAATGAAAGGAGTAATAAATGAGTATTTGAAAAGAAAAAAATTAACTGTTCAGCTCTCAAAAAGGAGAACATAATTACTCTCCAAGTCAAAACTATAAAAGAGAGAAAATAAAAACTGCTTTGTCAATTTTGAATATTTCAAATTTTCTACCAGTACAAAAAGCCAGAGTTTCAAAAATCACATTGACGCTATATGGATCTAGAACAGCACCGAATACCAAGCCACTGCATTTCCCCATCTCAGTAGGCGGGAGCTCTGGGGAAGAGAAGTTCTGGCGAAGAGTGTAGGAGGAGGGTGTGGACCCCAGAAGGAACGATAGTAGGTAAAAGGTGAGGACAGGTACAGACTGAAATGATTATGAACAAAAGGGACAATATGGAGGTGGACAGACTAATAAAAAAAAATAGTCAAGGAGAGGATAGAGGGTTCCAGTGCAAAGTATCTTTAAAAAAGATACCGCTTATTGGAAGTCACAAAGCCATCAATGGAGCACAAACCATCATATACCTGTTTGCTATTTCTGTTCCCCCAGAATATAATCTCTTCAAGCCTTTCTAACCTGTTGGCTTCTGAGCACCATGCAACTCCATGGGGCAATTTATCTGACTTATCTTAAAATGGTCTGAATCACCTTCTGTAGGTGCAGGTCTCTCTGCGTTGGCTACGGAGAGAGGCTAGACACCTAGGCTAGACTGCCTTAGACAACTCAAGCTATAACCCAGCCCTCAGTCTTCCTCATCTTCTTATGAGGAAGTGCAATCTTATGTTCATTTTAGTCATCCCGTGCACCCAGCTTGCCTCTGAATTCCCCTGACTTCAGCCTTATTGTTTTTTCGGACAGCTTGCCAGAACAGAACCCAGTATTCCAGGACAAGCCACTGATTTATAACAGCACCACACCAGCTTCGGTATTTCCCATTACATTCTTTGCTGACCCCATCCTGCAGTGACCACTCTGTTTTTTCACACACTGCTGCATACTGATGTTAGATTTTCACTGAGCTACCTATGAAAAATATAAGCACTCCAGTTAAAGGTCTATGCACAGACCACAAATTCAACAACTTGTGCAAAGTATTTCTTCAGATGGGTATGAGTTTATTTTTTTACCCACATCAGAGTCTATATGCCTTCATAACAGCGTCTCCTTTTACTACAACTCTTCAAAATCCCCTAGTGTTCTCTAATGTTGACCACCTTTTGTTGACCAGTTTTGTGCCACCTGGAAATTTTGCCTCTTGGCTGCCCTTTTGTTGACCAGTTTTGTGCCACCTGGCAATATTGCCTCTTGGCTGTTTCCTCCACATAGACAATGAGATCATGGTCACATTTGCACCATGTCTTACGGATAATAAGCAGTTTGATACAGAAATAAGACAAATCAAAATTTGATTTATTCAGAACCAACAGTAAAAAACCACAATGTTCAGGAAGGTAAAACATGCAGACATTATGTGAAAGAGATCCCTCATGTTTAGGAAAACTAATGCTTGGAAACTCACCTTATACTCAGATAACAGTTAACTCTGTTACCAACAGCAAAATAATCAGCTGCAGTGAGAATGTCTATGCCATGTGGAAAAGTGCCCTACAGACATTATAGGAAAGAGGGGAAAAAAATAAGAAAATATTATTTTAAAATGTAAAATACCTTCCAAATAGGCAACATTATTGAAGACAAATTTCCTACTACTCTCCAAGCACTGAAAAAAAATACAATTTAATTTCTAATTTATAGTAAAATCACGTGTACTAAAGATATAAAGGATATTGGATATATAAACAGCAAAATACCCAGCTTCACTTCTGAGTCAATGACAAACAGCCATAAACAGCAGCAGGTAATAAACTATGCAATAGCTATCTTAACACCTGCAAACCATATCCAAATATATATCTGGTGAACGCACACAAAAAATAATTTCTCTAAAAGAAGGCTTAGATAAATGTAAACATCCTTCAGTTTATGTGAAGGAACAAGTATCTGCTGTGAGTTTTATGAAGTATAAATTTAGAGATCTAGGCACCAAGAAATGCATCACATGTAGAACACATGGGAGTTCAATTACTTCTACTTGTTTCTACTTACACATATGCTTTACGATTTATTTATTAACTAAGAAATTGGGGTTAGCTTGTTTTTAAGAAGAGCACCGGTTCCCAGCAAAGCCTGAAACATTGAATCCTACAGAAGTATCACACTTTTGACATCACTGCTCAAAAAAATCCTGTTTTTAGAAGATAAATCATCTAACTATGCAATTGCCACCTAAAAAATTTGCCTTTTTATATAAGCAATACAATTCAGATATTCATAATTTTGATTGGCTGTGTCCGATTTAATATATTATTACGCAGCAAGGCTGTGTTTTGGAACGGAGGAGCCTCCACAAGCCATAATTAAGTACAAATGGAAAACAGCCAACTGAAAGACACTATGCTCACTTACAAAAGGGACAATCATATGATATTTAAGTAATAAGGCTATGTGGAAGTACAGGTTCTGGATATGATACAGTTCTGTTTGTTTACAGCTCACTCATCCCCTCCACATTAGCATACAGCCATGCAAAACCAGCAGAATATATCTCTACATCTAAGCCTGAATAATTGAAGAAGTATATATTGCAAGCTGTGGGAAGCTGTCAGCTGCTGTGGAGGTCTTATTCTGGGAAGCATAATGCCAACAATCCAAAAAACACAAGGCCTGGAATCCGACTGAACCCACTGGATAGACAGAACATTCATGGCTTATCCAAGAGACTACCTGCAAGCCTTAATCATGGTGACATGAATGTACTCTTCAGAAGCCTAATGAAACACTGATCAGGGAGAAAAGCACACACATAAGAAATACCTCAGTATGATTTACAGCCAAACAAGACCCCATACAATTAAATATATAAGAATGTATACTGTACATAAGGAAAATCAGAGCTAAAAAACTTCAACTCTAGCTCTTAGTTGGAGCTTGCTATTTCTTGGCAGTAAATGTGCCAATTTGATGCCACCTCACTGAAGGTCACGGTGCCGCAGTGCATGTCAGTGAGACACCGAATTCCTGAAACCAAGTTCAAGAGTACAGAGGTCATGGCCGACAGGAGAGACAGACTTCAGAGGGAAAACTAACAGGTTTTATTCTGTCAAAACACTTAAAAATTACTTCTCCAATATAAAAGTCTGTCTATTAGAAATACTTGCATTTCTCATTATTTATGCTTAAAAAAAATTTCTTTAAATTTATCGAACTTTTAATTTCCATGAAGTGTAAGTTACAACAGCTTCTTCTGAGGCCATAAAGCAAGCTCTCAGATTCAGGACATGCTGAATTGCAAAGGTGAAGGAGGCAGGAACCAGGAAGTAAAGCGAGGTCAACTTCTTTCTCCACCTATTTAGTACCACAGCATGGTTACTTCAGATTGAGAATATGTTTTAGCTCCTTCCAATTCAGAGACAGGGTGCCTCTTTCAACACATTACATCCAGGTAAAGAACTACAGAGGGTGTATCCGCTGATTAAGTAACCATTTTCCTAGGCAGTAAGGAATAGTTCAGTAAGTAAAACTTCTGAACTTCTACAGGAACCATCTGGAGCCTGCTAGCATTCTTCATGCTATGAAAACTTACTGTTTCACTGCAAATTCCTCCTTAACATGCTGACATATAAGCTAAAATTGTTGTGTGTTCTACCAACACCGGCAAGTTTCAATCTTGCATCAAAGCAGAATCAATAAGCAAACTTTTTGGTTGTAAACTAACTTAGACTGTACCTCTCTGATTAAGAAATAAAAAATTCCATAAGACTTTCGCTACATGGAAGCATTTCTAAACCTGCAGCACCCAGGAGCCCTGTGTCACCTGGAACTGAAGTCACAGTAAGGTGTTTACTTCATTCAGTACCTCGTGAAGTGGAATCAGGCTGAGTTGCTGTGCGATGACTAACCTCTCCGGGAGAGTAACTATAGACCAGGGAAGAATCACGCTGGCTTTTACTTATCACAGACCTAGTTGGGTCAGGTCACCAAAAATATCTACCCTCTTCCTCCTAGTCTTCTTGCATCCTTTCTCTGCTATTAACCTACTTCTATCTAGAAATAAACACACCAGTTAGGGACACATTGCTTAACACTCATAGTTCTAAATAATATCCCAGCTTATAACACAGAGATCTTCAGGAATGATATCAGGGAAAGCTAGACAGCATTTTAACAAATAACCCTTAAAGAATGGCTTATCAATCATCAAATTTGCTTTAACCATGCTCACATGCCCTGCTCTGTCACAAGAATTCACTAACTCAAAGCACTTAGGTACCTCCAAAAGTAACAGATCTCTCAAAATGTCTAGATGGTGGCATTATGGTACAACAGGCAAAACCAAACACTGAGTTGAACACCCGTAAGCCTAGTTCATTGTTGTATCACCAACAAGAGCAAAGATCGTGCAGCACACTTCAGCTGGTCTGCTTGTGTTAAAAACTAGGAAGTCAAGGAAATAACCAAAAAAATTGCACTTCTCCTGCTTTAAGAGTGTTGCAGTTTGCAAGGTGTATAATGGCCATCAGACATGCTGATTTTGCTTTTCAGAATGACTGAAAATTACCAGAAAGCTCATTTTCTTTCCAAATTAGAATACTAAAATAAAAATCACATCTCAGAAAAATACTCCACAAGAACTTGCTTGCTGATAATAAGTTATTTCGTGACATCCTTTCACTCAATTTCTCCGAAGCCACAGTGTCTAGTTTTGATTTTAGGTCCTACACGTTTACAGTAACCTCCAAGGCACTAATGAATGAAGATTCAGGAAAGTTACCATACCTGTCTCCCAACATTCTCCTGGAAGGCAGCCTGAGGAACAGAGAACAAACATACCAAAACGAGTCAGGTTTGCTTTTTGATAAATACCAGATGATGAATTCAAAACACACAACAATATAAATGACCCATGGCTTTTCTTTTTTAAATAAAGCAAGCTTTGTCAGTAGGACAAGCCCACAGGGCTTTTTTGTTTCTGCGTCTCTATGTTCTGGTGTTCTTAAAGCTGTATGTTGCATGACAGCAGGTTAAGAATGCAAGTTTATTAAACCAGTCACACCCATAAGAGCGCTTTTGAGTAGTGACACAAGGCTTCTCACTGGAATTGAAAGTCAGTACCTGTAGACAACAGAAATTAAGACAGCTCACTTTTGTCTGACTACTTCAACATAATTTGCTAATACTAGGCAAAGTCTGATTCTTTCTCAATTAAAACTTTGGTCAAAAAATATTGAGAATTCAATACTTATTTGAAAGATACATATTTGGAAGCATGCGGAAACACTGAAATCATAAAACCTGAAGACAAAATGCATGTGTATTTCTTGTGTTTTGTGATAAATAAACTCAAAATCTTGCAAAAAGCAACTAATACAACCATAAAGTTAATCTCTCTGCTTGTGTGGTACACAGAATAAAACCTACTGAACTCCCTACTTGCATCTTCTCCTGCTCTCAAAAAAGCCGATTTTGTTGTTGTTCTTTAAAACAATATACAGTTACAAGTACCAGTAAAAACTTCTGTAAATTTGAACTCTTTTCAGAGAGCAGAGATCATCGTTATCTGGACACCTCTCTTAAGGAATGTCACCCTGCCTACAGACCCAGATCTCCAGAAATGGACACCACGGGCCACCTGACAGCTGATATTTCACATACAGGGGTGAAGTCCCAATCTTTACTAAAAATGCCACAAGAACTTTGACAGACAGAGCTTCTGTACTTCCTACATAAATACAGTACGCATGTGGTAATCCACCTGTGAAAACAGAAGGTTATGTTAGCTCACCAGGTATCATACTCTACATAAGGAGCCAGCTCTCCCACAACACAGGTGAAGCAAGCCCTAATGAAGCCAGCGTCTCTCGGTGCATTTCTGAGGTTATGTCTGTTTAGGATAATGACTGCAGTTCCTGTAGACTTGCCCAGGCTAGTTCAGCTCCTGGTAGAAGCGTATCCATCGCAGGACACGTAGCACAGGCTGACTTGAAACCGCTCACCCACCACCTTGGCAGGTTCAGGAGCCCACCGTAGCCTGCTCGCAGCTGCAGCCACGCTGCCAGCAGTGGCCCCAAGCTAACCAGTTTAGGATTGCCCCAGGCAGAACTGCACGGGCTATCCTCTGCAGTGGTGGCAGCGTAGATACACCCTTGGGCAACACAAAGCCGCCTTCCAGAACAGGAACTGTAGCAATGCCCTACGCTCGTTCTTTATTGCGTGCTGTAGCCCAGCTTCTGACACGAGTTTTCTTCACTCCTTACCTCTCTAGCAATATACGCTACCAGCCAGGATTTGCCAGGACATTGTTTCATGTCACCCTGCGTCATTTATTTCTTTTTACTTACATGTTAGCTTTAGATCCCCTTTTATGCTATTGAGACCCTTTTACTCAGCCTAACGAAGTTTCAGCAAAGATGATGCTCTCAACTGTCACATCCAAGGGATTTAATAGTTTAATCACGGCATTACAATTTCTTTTAAAAATGTACTGCTCAGACAAGTGCCTTAATACTAAATTGGTAAGGCCTTTTTTTTTTTTTTTTTTTTTTGAAGAAACAGGTCTCAAACCAGTGAACGTTTTATTCTACCTACAATAAATCTGTAGGCCCGGGACAGAAACATAATATAGCAAATCATTGGAAAAAGATGTATAGGGGCCTACACACAATGTTGCAGCACAACAGCTATTGTACACAGAGATTTCACAGGGTTTGTTTACTTAATATAGGAATTCTAAAATTCCACTGTTATACCACCATTTCATTTTTTAACTTGCTTGGAAAAAACAATCATGAAGATCTAAGAAATAGTCCATAATCTAAATATAACTATATTTGTTGATTATTTCAATTTAATAGCCTTGGAGAAAAAGAATGAGTTTGCTACAGAGTCTCACACTTGTGTTACGAATTTACAACTCCTAAAATTATGAAGAGAAATATGGTACCCAGCAAATTCCTGTATACATAGCTCAGTAGCTAGAAAATGTTCCAGTTGCAGACTAAAACCACAACAGTAACCTGAGTTGGTTGCTTAGTTTGAGGGAGGTTTGTATGCCATGAACCTCTCTAAGCTTCAGCATTGTTGTTGTACATTTTAAAAAACCCAAAACTAAACAAAGAAAATGTGCTAAAAGTGTCCTCTTCTAGAAATATGTTTTCAACCAATCATGGGGAAATGTACAATGAAAACCAAGATATTCAAATAAAAACGAAAGAGCCCTCAAAGGAATGTAAAAACAGAACCCTAGATACTTTAGATTTATATTCGGAAAATTTCACCTCTGATTTAAGAAGGCTTTGTAGACAACACATATTCCATCTGTAACAATTTAAACACATTAGTGTTCTAGGAGAACGGCATCTAACCCCAATTTTATCAACAAAAATGTGACATGGCAAATTATTTTTCCTGTGTCTGAAGCAATATGTTGAACAGAAAAAGGTACAAGGAAAACTATCCCTACAGCATTATTCTGTTAAAGCTTTATTGTTTCACAAAATATTTTTCTTCCTAATACTTAGATTTTCAGTAACTGAAAATTCTACTATTTCAACCATACTTTCAAAGAACTGCAAAATCCTAAAAGATGCCAAATACTTAATTTGTTTTATAAGAATAATTTTTCATTTTTCATACAATCCCCTTCTGGAGATGGAAAAATTGGATGCAAAGATCTTAATTTAAAGACTCCATGATATCAGAACCAAGATGACCAACTAGCCTTGTAACCTGAATACTTTGTTTCCCACAAAAACTGAAAAAATACAACATTCTCTAACTCATTATTTTAAAAACTATCAATCAACCAAGAGGAAAAACCCCTCTCTTTAAGATGTCAGAGCTGAGTGGGGCCCAATCCGAGATCACTTATTCATGCCATTATTCCTTATAATGATTATTCATTAAAGAGTTGCAAAAGTCAGCTCAGAATGCTTTTGGAGCTTCAAAAGAACAGTCTTGTTTTATTCTCTCTAACCTCAGGGTTCAAAATATCTCTATATGCTACCTTATTAGTGCTCTGCATTATAATATATTGCATATTGTAATAGATGGAAAATCTAGTAAAACATGTTATTTAAATGTGTGTTTAACTGTAGTAATGACTGGAAATAATTAGGACTCCCAGGTATTTTTCTTCAAAATTGCAGTAATGCCCGGCAAACACAAAATATTTCTTTGCCTGTCTTTCTAAAATAAGAAAAAAAAAGTTTCAGTACTTTCATAACTATTCATCAAAACAGCAATTTCAAATTTTGACCAGCTCTGAATTAGAATGTATTAATGAAAAAACAATTTGACAGGAGATAACTGAATTGCAGAATGCTCGATAGCTTGGTTTAAAGTAGAAGAGGAAAGTGAGGAGAAAATGTACTGTCTTTTGTACCCATCTGAAATATGGAAGCACAATCTGCGCTAAGCTTATGGCATTGGTAAAGGTGTCTGCTTTAGCACCATATTTCATGGTCAAACTATCAGCTTCTGTTTAAGCGTAGAAACATAATGAAGATTACACACGACAATGAGGTCAAGCCATGAAAGGCAAGCAGTAGTGGCAGTCATGTTAAAAAGAATGCGCCTCTTTATATATATTGCCACTGATTCCTAGGACAACTCCTACAGAGCAAATAAATAATTCACTTTTCACCACCTACACTCAATGTTTTGTGCAGTTCTCAAGAAAGCAAAGCTACCTTTGTTTTCCTCTAAGGATTTTATTTGAGTAAAGTGACTTAAATCAGCCAAGAATAGCAAAGCCTACAGTTTCTAAAATTTAGGAGTTGAAGTCTGGGGGAAAGTAGCATTGCTCATACTCATTAGCTGTACAGTATGCGAAGAATACAATATATCAGTACTCAGCGATCTACAGCATCTTAGCTTCCATGCTTTGGTTTTAACTTATTTAGACAGAGTGATTTGTGATATGACTACACAAGCAACTGACTCACTTCCCCAGCAATTATGCTGCAGCTTCATTCAACAGCTTAAGTTCTCAAGCAGAGGTGTGGCTAGAAAAAATAAGGATGCTATCCAGGTACCCCTGAGAAAGCCTTCTTATGTTATAAATGCATTAGCTTTCAAAATTTCAGTCAAAAAATACGACAGGCCTGTTAATTAATTTACATGTTGCAAAGACTGCCTTTTCTTTAAATTTTTAAAAAATGCATTCACAGTGAAGTTTATTCTTAGTAACAGAGACACAGTTCTTTGACAGACATAGTTTCCTCCTGTGTTTGAGGTAATACAGTTACAGGGTGGGTTTTTTTACATTTGCATAAGAGCATGTTTCATCTCTTGAAAGAGACAACTCGTACTTCCTTTTTTTTTTAAGAAAGCAAGTTCAATATATACAACACACTGACTTAAATTCTCAAAGATAAGATGTCCATTCTTTCTTCTTCTTCTCAAATTCTACAACATCTCTCCATAAATTCCCTTCTCTGAAGAACAATCACTCATTCTTTACAATTCTCAACAGCAGAAGTATTTTCTACAGAAAGGTTCCACAGATATACTTTGGTGTCAGTCCTATTAACCAGGTAACAATATCAGCCTAATGGATTTATAACTTTCTTTTAAAAATTCCCAGTCCTACAGAGTTTTATACAATAATATGTCTGAAGGAGAGATACTATTCTAGAAAATTTCAACATATTGCAATTACAAAGTAAAAGCTGAGGAACAATTAGGAAAGTATAATTTCACTAAACTTGGCAGCTTGGTGACTTGAAAAAGATACAGTGTTTGTATATTATGTATGACCCTTTTGTCTTTGATATTGTGACTAGAAAACGCTAAATAGCCCTTTCTTAAAGATTTTATCTTAACCATCATTACAGCAATACAGAAGATTGTGAACTGTGTCCATAAATCAAGATCTGGATCTCTGGATTATATAATTTAAAAATCTAAATTCACACCATACTTCTAAGGATCTAAAAGAGCACTTTTTTGCTTACAACCCAATATATTGCTTATATACTGTAGTTGTACACAGCTAAGTCTACAAATTATTAAATGAAAACAAACAAAAAATAACAAACATATAAGCTAAAATGTGATAAACTTACAGAAGCGGCTCTTCTGCAGTTAACATCACGATCAAATACTGCAGCAATAACCAATGCACTGAGGAAATAAAATACTGAGTATTAGTACCAAAAACATGAAAAGAAATGTGTCATGCCATCATTTCAACATTTAGATTTCTAAGTTAGTACCAAAAACATGAAAAGAAATGTGTAATGCCACCATTTCAACATTTAGATTTCTAAACAGAACATGCAGCATTTCTTCTAAGGAGCTTACTATTTATAAATACAAGCCTAAACTAAAATTTCAGCTGAAATAAGCATTTTGTTTCTCTAGTTTGCTGTGGACTTCCCACAGCATAAACAGACAACTGCCATCCTACTGTATCAAATCTATTTAAGGAAACATATTTAACTGCATAGAAAGGTTTTCTATTTTAAATATAGCAGGAGTTTAAAACTTGGACATAACTTGTCATCTCTAATATGAGACTCATACAGTGCAATTTTAAATTAAAACTTGGAAATACAGTTTCTCAATAGCCAGATGCACAGCAAGTCTTATGTAAGGCTTAGGCAAAACTAAAAGTTAAGCAACGAAACTTGCAACTATCTCTACAACTACAATCACACAGTTTCTCAATAGCCAGATGCACAGCAAGTCTTATGTAAGGCTTAGGCAAAACTAAAAGTTAAGCAAACTGAAACTTGCAACTATCTCTACAAGAACAATCACATCCTGTAAGTAAAAAAAAAAAAAAAAAAAAATCAGAAAACAATATGGAATCCTTCTAAAAAGTGACCTGCAAGATCAATTGCAAAGCAGTTTTTTAAGAGGTGACCTGTACATACAGAGGCATGATTATATGAAACTATTTCTTTGTGCATGAAGTCTGGTAACCCTGCACAGTTTAATTCTTTCACCTCCAGAGACCTGCTTTTAAAAGATATACTACAGAACAGAAGAGAGAGAATATATCCCAGGACATGAAGTATACAGCTTTAGAAATCCACCTCTAGCATTCAATTAACTTCAGGGACAAATAAACATCACTGCAGGAGAATCATTTAAGCAGAAAATTATTCCTTTCAAACTCTGAAACTCTTCATTACTTTATTGACTCCAGGCAAAACAGGAAATAAATACTGGCTGAAAGGTAAATCCAAGACAGCTTTGCTTTAACATAAAGATATTAATTACACTGATAATATCAAACCTCCCTGGGCAGTGGCTATCAGTTTCCTACAATGACGGATACTGTGTTGTTAAAATCCACTGAAATGCACAGTCACTGTTGCCTCTGTAAGTTCAGTTTATCTCCATTAAGAAAAACAAGAGACAGAAAGCAAGAATGAAATGAAAATAAACCCCAATAAATTGCATTCTTATTGCTACTCGCGTGAGCAGTGCCTCTCTCTGCCATAAAGACATTAGGTGATTATAACACAAATGAAGGTCATCCAAAAAATAGTGATTGGAAGAGCAAGTGTTTAGGAAGCATTCCATTAGGAAGTAGCTTACACAGCAAACTGCTGAAAAAGTGCTGGGTCAAATACACCATCTTCATACCTTGTTTGCTAAGCTTCTTCTCTGGCATACAGAGAAACTTAAAAGTCATTTTAAAAGGACATTTAAGAAGTATATCTTTTTAATGATATAAATAGCTCCCATGAATCTTCTCATTATAAAGGAGAACATTCAAAACTAAGGAACTGGATGAAAAAAGAACCAAATTGCTGCCTGACATTTCCGATTATATGGACTATAAGACAAAACATTATTTTGTCAGTTACACGATATTTCAGTACTCTTCTCTTCCAAGAAAACAAAAAAAACCCCACCCCACCAAAGAAACCCGTCATCAAGCCAGGAAGCTCAGAATCCAGAGCGTTGCCCTTACTGTGTCAACGGTGCCCTGAAGTGTTACAGAGCATTTCATAAGAGCTGTGTTGGGTCAGACCAAAATCCTTCCAAGTCATTGTCTTGTCTCCAACAGTGGCCCAAAGAGGACAAGGAGGGATGAGTGTAAGGGCATACATATTAAATATTAACATACTGATTTGAAAGATTATCCAGTCTTTTCAAACTGGAAATGTTAAAAGACTGTCAATGGAGAATAAATACTGCTCTTTGAATTCCATATTTAGACTTAAAATGTGGTTTATTAAATATAATGGAAAACAGTTTCAGGTTATTATACACAAGAGTTCAGCTTATAATCAGACTGTGCTTTTCCATTTTTTCTTATTCTTCCATTACATTAAGACAAACCTGTATAAGTAAAACCAGCAAAGCAACATACTGTCTGTGTGAGGCCACTCGAGTTATTCAGTGCTGGAACTGAATACCATGTTTAATTAAAACAAAACAACCCTGGAATTTTGTCATTGCTCCCGTAGCCCCATTATATTCATAAATCATACTGTAGTCCCTGTTTCATGCTAATCCTTTTAATAGAATTATTTTAAACTTAACAAACTACACCGAGTATTTCTTCAAGTTAATTCCTATTTGAAAACGCAGGCACAGGCTGCCCTGACACAGGGATCAGCAAGGAAAGCAACATGCCTCAGATGAAACCTGTCTAAGGTGTCTTCACCTGTCTGCTTTGTCGTGGGAGTTTATGTGATACTCCACCAGGATTTCCTAACATAAAGAAACTGTTTATGTCAAACAAAGTGGGATATTTTTTTAAGCTAGTTAAAGAATCATGTCTTGACTTGCCTGAACTGTACCATACCCGACTGCTAACAGGTAGAGCAAAGAATGGCTTTGCAGCTTGCAGTCTCTATGAAACACCTTCTGTAGTTCCTTGAGGTATACTTAGCGTGTGTGCACAACAAGCAGTTAAGTGTACAATAAACACAAATGGACTTTAAAAGAAAGTTGCAATTCTATCAATCAACTAATAATTCTCCTTTTTTTCCCCCCTTCCCCAAGCACTCACTTAACTAGCTTCAGGGACAACTAAAACAACTCAAAGTATGTTAGAGGCTCACTTGCTCAGCCCAGCGTTGATCTCATTGCCTTCCCCCAACAAGGCAGAAAGAATCGGAGAGCAGAGGCCAGTCAGGCGATAGACATCAGAACACAGAAATACCAGGTTACGCTCTCCTTATAAGCACCAGATGTACCAGACAATAAATCTGAATTTCCTTTATCACCTGTAGCAGGCACTTCTAGTCTATACTAGTCACAAGCAGCAAGACGCTTATCCTATTGCTAACCTCTGAGAATTTGCAGCTATTAATGCAAGCATACCACCCTGAAGCTGCGGGAAGAAAAAAAATAAACTCTCAAACCTCTTGCCAATTTGGCATAAAACCAAAATTTCCTTCCTGAGCCCCAAAAAAGGGAAAAGTCTAACTTGTAACAGGACGGAAAGCTCTCCTCCCTACTACACATTAGAGAAGGGAAGGCATAATAATCATCACAAGCAAAACAGTTTTGAACAATCCAGGCAAGATAAAAAAAGGAGGCGAGACCAGAGTCAGACCCAAGTCTGTTGAGAGCTGCTGCTGCAACCAGCCCTTTATGCGCCTCTTCCATCATGCCAGTACCCCAGCTGGAATGGCTACACAGCGAGCTCAATGATGAAAACAGATCTAGGCTCAACTAATTTTTCTTTTTCTGGCTTTTTTTTTAACCAGCAAAGCTCCCCCATTCACCTTCTCACATGCAGCTATCAAGTTGAGTTGACGAGTCAAGCTCAACTGCAGGAGCAACGCAGGTGAAGGAGCAAGCAAGAGAGCCTGCTTCAGCCAGCACTGCTACAGGAAAAAGCCCTTCAGACTACAGTCTCAGGTTTAATTCCTCCTTCCAGGCAAGAAGGTCTGAGGAAAAGAAATGCAGTGCACTTCCGCAGTGCATGCTTTCACAGTCCCTCTATCCCAGCTCACACCGAGCTCTTACACTTTCTGCTAGCCACCCAGAGTCCTACGATCTGCACTGTGTTACTCCAGTCCCCAAGGTTTGGGGTAAAATGATGAAATGTTTAGAATAGGAGTTACAAATCCTGTTACTAAAAGAAAACAAACAAAAAAAAAAAGGCATATGATGCCCCTGCAGGAAATAACTTTACACAAGTGCAAGGCACAGTAGGCACACAACTTTCTTCTGAAGGCAACAATCAAATACATAAAAGAAGAAAGCTATTCTCAATATTTCATCATAGTACAAGATGTAGCTCAAAGCAATGCTTCAGATTTCCCCAATTCTACAGGACAAGCTTGCCCTGGAGCAAGGTACATCATTCATCCATAGCCACACCTTCCTTTTTTTTTCCCCTCTTGAAAAACAGTGCACTGCTGGGAAGACAAAGCTGCCTCCACTCCTCCACTCCACACGCTATTTGTATTGGTATTCTGCTGAACGGGAGATAGCAATTAGATCTTTCTAAATAACGATTCATTTATCGATTACCTACACCACTGAATGACAGATAAATGAAACTACATTCTAACTATGCAACAGTTCCAAATAATTAAGATAGCCAGCAACAATGTAATCACTATAATTGTATAATAGAATAGAAATATGTTTTCCTTTTTATTTTTTGTTTAGGTTTTAAACACAACAGCTCAGCTTCTTAGTGTGCACCTGCCACTTCATAGACAGTAACTTCCACACCCAAGGGGCCAGGAATCAAATTACCAGTATTTTCAAGTTATTAAAATTATGTTTAACTTTCCTCATAAGTGATTCTAAAAAGATAGCGTGCATGTAGAGACTGCGAGAGAAAAAAATCTCAGTCAAGTAGTGCTTTTAGAAAGATACGCTTGAATAGCAGCTTCAGTAGATGCAAGTACTTCCAAACGTCATTAAAGCTGTCCTGCAATAAAAGTGAAGTTTCGTCTACTTTGCCAAGAATTTTCTTTTTGTGGTCCTGTACTTCAAATAGATCTTCCAAGGTTTTAGAAACCAGTTCAACTGGACTTTAAAAAAATAAACAAGTAAATGTGAGTAAGTATATCTTTTTTGAAATACGGATAAAGTACTGACATGTAAGAATAAGAGCAAGTACTATTAGAAATAGTCTCGGGTGAGCATTTCTAATAAGTGTTGCCAATATTTTTTCTTTTTTCTTTTTTTTTTTCTTAAAATAAGAGTGCTAAGGTCAGGAAGGAAAAGGGCTGATTTTTGATCTGCAGCAATCTAAGTTTGTAACTTAATGTTCTGACAATTTCATCACTTAATAACAGAACATTCTTAAGAAAGTAGAGAAGAAACAGCTATCACTGAACGTGAAGACATATTTCATTTAAAACACTGTCACAAATTTTACTAAAAAAATATTTTATGCAGTTTAAGGTGATTTTTCACTAGTCAAAAGCAAAATGTTTATGTCCCTTGACTACAGAAAACAATGTTTTTCCATTATACGATGACGCAACTTTGCAGGCAAGAAAAGAAAAAAAAAACCAAACAAAACCAACCCACCACCAAACTACCCCTCTGCTTTAATTTGTAACTACTGGACCCCAGTCTGAATGGGCTGTGGGGCAGGACTCAGTTTAAGCAGCGTGCTTCTCCCCTGTTTTGGTCCCCAAGTGAGTCTCCCGACAAGATACACTAAACACATGCCAAAGGCCATGACATGAGGTAGGAAGACATGAAGCAGCTCGCTGTTTAACTCAACACCTTCTAGTTAACCACCAGTGCGCTTACTCTGCCACGATGACCACCTTGCCCTTCGAGCCTGAGTGCAGCAACCAGCTACTTATGCTCCAAGGTTGGCGTTATCTGCGTTCCTCCAGCCAGTTTAACAGCAGTGTTAGAGACTGAATGAAGGATGAACCATTTGTAATTTCTATCACCAAGACAAAGCAAACAGTTCAGGACTGCAATAACTCACTACATTTTTTTAAGGAGGTAGTACTTTCCTTTCAGGTCAATGATTTATTATTTTTCTATACAAATCTAATAGTTTCTATTCTCATATAGGCAGATGTTTTTGCTGTGTAATTCAGCTCGCAATGGATATTATATACTTTGTTTCAAGATGCTGAGTTCTGCATTTTTTAAGGGCAGCAACAATTTGCTTGTGGCTAGAAGTATGACTCTTCTTTAAGTAAAACAGTGACACACCTAAGGCTAGATTTAAAAAAAAAAAGCTGTATGTAATTATCAGCTTGCTGACACAATAGGTGAAACTGTGTGTCATACTATATTTGAATATTTTCTTTCACCGTTTCTCTTTGGAGTGGCAATTCTACCTTCAAGAGTTTATTATATTTAGAAAAGGTATGGCCAACGTAACTACAAAGATTTTTAAGTTAAGCCTTAATATAGCGTTAATACTTGCTAAAAGACCGTGCAGCTTTGTTAGAAAACTAAGCGTACACAAACCACAACACCTTACAACTGATCATAAGTAATTTTCAGCTTCCCTCCTGCTGTCCACCCTGTGTTTCTCTCCACTCCACCAACTTATTCCAAACAATTGAAGCTGTTGTAGCTGGCACAGCCACAGTGTTAACTGGTATTACTACCATAGGTAGGAGATACCAATTATTTTCACTTCACATTTTCCTAAAAGCAAAAGAAGAATCTGTTCCAGAACAGTCTGAAAGGTAAAACACAGGAGCTTCTTCAGATTAATTTCAGATTAAAAATAGGAATACAACCCAAGATGTAAACACATGATTATTTCACGGTACAAACACATCGTTAGGTACTTTTCTGCTAAGAATTTCATACTAAGATCTACCATGAACTTGGCTAGAAGAGAATTAAATATAATGCTTCAAAATAAAATATTTCTCTAATAATTTATTATGACAAATATCACTATTTCTAGCATGCTTAACTGAACAAGGTCTTTTCTGGAGCACCGCATTCTCTTTCTGAAAGTCATCCAGAAATAGTGGGTGGCATCATGTTCTAGAGCACAGCTTGGTGTTACCAGACTCCTCTCCTTTAGTATCTATGCTATTGTAGATAAAACATCAAAATAACATGCAACTACTTTATCAGAGACACAAGGCTGACATGTCTTAGAATCTTTTGTCTGCTCTGTTTGTGAAAAAGACATGTCAGCTTAAAAAAAGAAGAAAGAGAACCAGCACTTAACCTTAAGAAATTTGACAGCAGGTTCTTAGATTTTATCAAGGTCTCAAAAAAACCCCAGGAGCAAGTATCAAGCAGGTAAGAGACACTGTCGTGTGACCCTGCATTAAAGGACCAGCACTGCAAAGTGAGGATACAAGGATGAAGAACAGCAGAGACCAGCCAGGGCACAGTGCACAGTGCACCAGGATCAAGAAATAAAAATGGATATGTAGGGTTTACAGACTGTCCCAAAGAACTTTAAAAGCAGGTTTTAAAGAAGAAAGAAAAGTGACATATTCCTTGGGAGCCTGTTGAGCTAAGTAAGTAATCCTGTGTTTCCAAACCAGGCCTTTTGGATGAGATCAAAATAGTTCTGTCAGCAATCTGGAAGCAAGGCAGCCCCGAGAAATTGAACCAGATATCCAGGACCACAAATCACTGGACAGCCCAAACTTTTTTTTTTTTTTTAAAAGATAATACTGAAATACTAATGACCAGAACTCCTCTGATGGATACAAAGCTGCCTGAATTTCTGCTATCAATGATTGCACTAAGAGTGTGCCAAGAAACTGTTAGAAGCTACTTCTTGTTGTTTGCAGTGCAATCACCCACTAAAGATGCCTTCGAATGTCAGCCAGTGTGCTGCTAACAAAAAGACTAAATGCTAAAAAGAGAATTCCACAAACAAATAGGAGGAAAAGCATGACACAAAAGAAAAAAAAAGAAAAATAAAAATATCTAATTTTAAATGTCTTACAGACAGAGCGTTAGACTCCTAGATTAACTTCTAGAAGATAGAAAATTAGACTATTCAATTAATTTCTAGCTACTTACTAATTTTGAATAGGTTTTAAAAATTACCTGTAAAAGGCTGTTTCTTATTGCCACAACTTACCTTGAAATCTGATTAATAAAAGGTATCAGTTCTGCAGGATCATAAGCACGAGCAAAGGCCCAGCACACATAGCACGCTGCATCTCTCACGTTGGAACCCACGCTGCATGCCCCTCTCTTCTCGTCATATGTCAGCGCTTTCAAAATGACAGGAACAACTATTATATTAAAAAAATGTAAAAAGCAACTATTAGGACCATACAGTGAGCCAAAAAAAAAAAAAAAAAGTATGAGCATTCAGTGATCATTAGAGAAAAGACACGGTGGAGTTGTGTGTTCTGAAAAAAAGAAAGCACGGCTCTTAACACGTGCTATTTCCAAAGCTGATTAGAAAGAAGAGTTGGTTTTTTTAATAAATTATTTTGTTTCTTTGTCAGTACAAGTTTATTTTTTATTTCCTTCGCATATAATCCAATAAGGATTAAGGTAAGTGGGTTACATAAGAAGTAACACTGACATAATTTATTATTCAGTGATACATGTTCAGAAGTCAAAGTAAATTTAAAGTGCAAAATTTTAAAGTATCCACTTTTTAAAGTACTGGACGTTAAATATTACAGCAGCATCTATCACAAGAAAAAATATTTCTTAGAAATACAGTATTGTAACTACCATAAATTCAAAGAAGCAGTATCCATCTATAAGCAGGCAACATTTATCATGGTAGAAGTCCTAATACGACAAACTATTCTTAATTTACAGTACTTGTGAATCATCAATGTATCAATCGTGAAAGGGACTTAACTACACTTTCTGCATAATCTTAAAACAAAATTACATGCAATAATCAAGTAAGCTGTAGTATTTTATTCCCTATAGAGCAGTTATTTTGAGCAACTGCAATGCAGTGGTTTAAGCTTGAGCCTATCAGCACCGCCAAAATGCAATATGGATAAAACTGCAATGTAACAGAGAAATGCAAACAGCTGGGCTTTACCCCCGTTTCTGCCTAGACAGCCAAAACAACAGTGACAACTACATGCCTCTTCACCAGCACAGAGTGATCTAATGCAAGCCCAGAAGCCTCTGATGATGGATAACAGTATACAAAAAAAAACCAAAAACAAACAAAAAAAAAAACCAAACAGCTTAATGTCTTATTTTCTCCTATCAGTCATGTTAATTATATTGTTTTCACCAACGTATCAGTTTATGTTAGACACTGAGGAAATACGATGGAGATATCTGCATCCCAAACAGCAATATGGAATCACGCACTGCACTTCTCGTACTCACAATGCACTGGAATGGATTCTGAAGCCCAGACTGGAAAATGCTGTCTCCTGAGGCCCAGAGAGAGAGTCAAGACAAAAGCAGCTGATAGCCATTCTGGGAAGGTGCCTTTTATTTCTCTATCACTCTTACTGGGGATGGTGAGGACAGGAAGGGACAATAAAACATAGGACAACATTTAACAGAAACTAAACTATACTCCAGGCTATTAATGTCACACTTGATGAATCCAACTGGTCACAGGAACTGGAAAAAATCAGCAGCAGGAACGCACTGCTTCTCTGAATGGAAATCATATACTGTGTATTCTTGAGAATATTCTTTCTCCTTACTAACCTAGAAAATCATCCTGAACTGACAGTGTCAGGATGTTTTTAAAGACATATATACTCCAGAACACAGAGCTTCATTCTGGGAGAAGAGTGGTGTTACCCGTGTTCATGAAACAAATCACGATCTGAAAATCAACGGATACAACACCCATCCTATCCACGGCAGCTCGTAGAAACGCATGTATGAAGCATTGTCTCCTGATTCAATGGACAACCTGAGAAAGTTCAGATTGAGTATGTTTGAGCCAATAAAGCTCTAAAAGCCAGAGCCCACAATATAACATGTGCCACATTGTATTGAGGGAGCTCCAGAGGAAATGCTGCTGCAGAGCATGAGCCCAGGCTGAGCGCTGGAACCGCGTAACACCGCCGCAATGGGACAGCAGTAGAACACAGCTCCTTGTCTTTTTTTTTTTTTTAATCATATTGGGGAAAACAGAAAAAGCAGAGTAGTAAAACAGAAGTAAAGGCAAATGAAGATCCCAGAATCTTATCACAAAGGCCTTATAACACAGGTACTGTTACAAGGAAGTAACAAAAATAAACTTGGGAAAACAAGTAGATGAAGAATTTCACTTTCACGCCTATATTCCCATCCAAACTGCAAGAAGTCAAGGATGTTTTTCTACAGATAAGAGAGCTTCCACAAACTTAAAAGAGGAATTCTCCTACACAGGCCACAGTTTAAGAAATACTGGATGTACGCAAGGCTCCCCAGAGGGCCTTCTTTTGGTATCTGCAAATCCAAATACATAATTTGAATACATCTCTCTCTAGATGGCATGTCTTTAATAAATGAATAGTATCTGTAGAAACAACAGCCTCTAGAAAAAAAAAAAAAAGAAACCATTTCTCTCCCAATTTTCTTTCTTGTATCAGATTTATCAAATGTATCTTCTTTTCCTTAGAAAATACTTGTCAAAAGGTGATCCTACTGAAAAAGAAATGGGATCACTGAACTGTATTTCACTAGCAAACTGCACCTGGATATACTTGAGTGGATTTAATCACAAAATAATTAAACTTCAATGTACAGTTCATCACTGTGTGCCTACTACTTTAAACAAAAAAAAAAATACGCACCACAACTGGAGAAGGGAAGCGTTAAAATGCCATTTAAATTCATTTTAACCTACTAAAGAAAATAAAGCAGTAATCAGGGGGATGGACTATTAGAAGCACCAGCACTACATGGGAAAAGCAGCAATTCCCATTCAGGAACAACAATACAGCAAAGATGGATGGATATTTGGGCACATCCCAGTTCCGAAAGAAACTGCAATAAAAATCTTTAAAAATGTTGACTAGCTTGTTTTGAAAAATGCTACATCAACTGATGAAAAAAAATGGAATTAGCTGGTTCTACAGGAACACTAAAACAGACGCCAAAGGCAATTGAATTTTGCAACGCTGCTGCAAGTTTTCTTCGGCACAGGGTGATTACTGCAGCTGCTTTAGGGAGCTGGAGAGTGCTCTCATCTCTCTGTACACTGAAGAAAATGTGCAGGAAGGACCCACAAGCAGCTCCTCACATCTGTCTGTATGAAAGAAAAAACAGAAGTTTTTTCAATTCAGGGAATTAATTTCCCAAATAGTGGGGTCACTACCAAATGGCACCCAGTTTACTAGGGTCAAAGACAGAGGTGATGCTGCCGTGGGTCTTTAACAGCAGAAGCTAAGGAAATGCTCACACGTCTTTGATGTCCCGTGTGTATGGGGCTCAAAGCATTGCTGCTGCACGAGAAACACCACAGTTGCAAGTCTGGAGAGCAAAGGGGGATAACGCAAAGGAAGGACTCAAACGTGGACATTTAGAAGGTGGGGGAAAAGGGAAAACAAGGTGAAGTATGCAGAAGTAACGGCTAAGTAAATACAAATACTAAAACAAGGGAAATACTGATCTAGGGTCACCTGTTACATCCTATCACTGGTCAAATATTTACCAGTGAACTGTGGACTATGGGAAATACAACATAAAATCTGCTCCTGACAAATGTTTGTGTGTTTGAAAAATGGGAGTCCAGCATCACATTTCCTGTTTGTATCCAAAAGTCATAAAAAACCCCAAAAGAAACACTACCAAAAATTCCAGGTTTCGCTTCACTCTTTGTCCCAGAGTTCTTCAAACACAACACAGGGTTTTTTGCCGTGGCTTCCTGCAGCGTCAGAAGAGCCTGGCTGAAGGAAGTCAAAAAGGAGCAGTGCAGGCAAAACCATCCAAAGCGTTTAGGCCACTGTAACTGAAATAGCTTATAAAATACCTTCCTAATCCACAGTTTGGCAGACTCCTTGTTTCTGTAATCTCACGTACACAACTTTTCATCTTCAGTCTAAACACAAAATACTAAGTTTAATTTTAATTAACCTTTTTCTCTGATTTAAACTGTTCACATTCATACTCTTCCAGAGCTTTGTTTGACACGCAAAGCAGCAGTGAAGTTCAAAGCTTAGTCAGCCTCTGATTCTGTATGTTATCCAATTTAACTTCACCATTCTAACCACCTCTCAAATACTCACTGCTCACAGTGCTATACTGTTCTGCTCTATACTGTTTCAATTTTTCAGACTTAAGATCACGTTGAATTCATACCTAAAATCAATTTCTCATGAAAACACAAAATAAAAAAGCTTTTGAGAAAAGAACTTCCAGAAGAATGTTATTTTAGTTTTGAAGAGGGGAGACAAAATTTTACTTTTGAAATTATGAAAATGCTTTTTTTGTTTAAAAGTTGAGGGCTGGGAGATACAACAAGGAGAAGACCTGAATTGTTGCTTAGCTTTAAAAGTTACCATTTCTTTTATGGATCTACATTAAAGGTTTGCCATTAAAAACAGAGGATAAATAATGTCCACTCTCAACCCAATTATTAAAACAATATCCACCTGTTTAGTGCTGTGAACGCTCAAGAGAATACAGTCACCTTTACCTGTAGCCTAGAGGTACTAATAAGCACCTGCTGCACTCCACCCTGCCTTACCTAACAACATAACTGCAGGTTGCAACACAGCTCTTTGCTCAAGCCTTGTGAAAATAAAGAAACAACTTCTGGCTTCAAAGTATTACAAACAGCAGCATTTTTTTTTTTCCTCATACAGGAGACAGGTTGCACAGATATTTTGCTTTTTAAACACAGATTTTAAACAATCACATGCTTAGCAACTTTGAGGTACAGAGGCCAGACACTAAACGAGTTAAGAAAACTCACGGAAGACATTGTATGCTGAAAGGTCACACGTATGTAAATAAAGAATGCCCCATACTATTCCTTATAAAAAGTGCCTCTAAAACCAAACTTTACACAAACCTAGACTATCCATCAGGAGCCCTATGTTACTTTAACTTCAGATTGTCTTTTTTTTTTTTTAATTTATTGCAATGTTTATCATCTAAAGCATACAAATACAGCAATTAAACAAACAAACAAATAACAACAAAAACCTGTTCCTTAGCCTTAGGTCTGGTTTCCATAAGAAAATTGCAAAATTTTATGTCAACCCTATTTCTTTTGAAACAGATCTTGACTGGATCCCAAGCTAATTAAGAACTGTCTAAATCTAGTTTAAAACTAAAATATGCCATTCTTAAAAGAGAT